CCTTTCTCCTTTCGCTTCCTCTGCGTTCCACTTCCTTCTTGACTAGAGCATGTGTGGACGTGCTGAGTGACGCCGGCACGGAATGTAACAAAGTTTTGAGATCAATGGGTAGTCTGACTAGCCTTTACAAATTGCATTGCATTCATTCAGTACTTTAATAGGGGGGAGAGCACAAAATGCTGAATGGAGCGACAAAACGAGAGAGACACTTTACTCACACACACACACACACATAAGTGAAACCACTCTCAAGCCATCGTCTCTCATTCTCTGCGTCTCTTCTTGTCCTTTCGTCCGTCTCTGCTTTGGTCTGTTCTTTAAGATTCTTCGGGGCTCGCACACGCACATCAAACAAAATTATGCAAGGCACAAAGAAAATTGGGGAGCACACAAAATTATAGACACAAGTTAAAAAAAGAAGAGAAAATGAAAACAAAAACGAAATAAATTATGCTAAATTTATCAAGTGATTTTATTGAATAATTTGTTGTTGTTGTTGTTTTTGTTGCTATTTGCTGGCAAAAGAAATTCAAATCATAAGAGTAAACATAATATAATAATAATAATAATGATAATCATAAAACATAATTTTAAACGAAATAAAAATTATTTTGTCATTGTCATAGTTTTTTTCTTTTTGTTTTTGTTTAAAATCGAAATGTTGTTACAAAATAAACCAAAAAAAGTGAATGGATAAATTTTCACAAATTAGCTAATTATGTATTGTAGTTGTTGTTTACAATGAACTTTTACAATATATTTGATAAATATATGTATTCTGCATACATACATACATATATGCACTATGTGGAAGGGCATGAATGTGTATGTCTATGTGCGTGTTGTGTGTGTGTGTGTGTCTGTTTCCTGGTGCACACAATGACAAAGTGTAAAGAAATTTAATTTAAAAATAAAATTAGAAACTAAACAAAAGTATACAAATTTTTGTATAAGAAAACTAAGTAGTACATTTAAATTCAACACAAAATTGTCAGCTGCGAAAGAAAAAAAATGTTCAAAAACAAAAATATTAATTATAAATCAAAAATAGAATGTAGAGATTACAAATTGGTGAAGTATTGAGGGAAAGTGCTGCCCAGCTGCCGCCTGCTCTCTTTGTGCCTCTACTAATTGAAACGGTACTGCGTACTGCGCTCTCCCTAACTGCTGAGCTGCCTTAAACGCACTGCTTGCCACTTGCACTGCACTGCACTGCACTTAACTCTCATCCTATGTATGTTCCGCCTGATTTCAGTTTCAGTTTATTCTTTATCTAGTTACGCCTCTTTCGTCTACATACTTGATTAAACTTGCATTGGCAAATTAAGAAATTAATTGAATTAAATTAATTATAAAATACAATAAATAATGTTTGTAGTTGTTGGTTTTGTTGTTTCACTTAAGTTTAAAGAAAAAATTATATATATATATATATACATATATATAATTGGCTTAAAGTTTAAATTACACGAAAAAAATAATTGTATATTTTGTTGCTCTTGTATAATATAATATATATTAAGTTTAAAAATTTTCCACTCCTTCCTTACTTCCTTTTTTTTCATTTTTCTTGTTTTTTTTTTTCGTTTTGTAATTGTAATTTAGCTGAGATGCATGAACTGTTGTTTCATTTTTTGCATTTTAAGACTATTGCACAATATTAAAACTAAATATATATATATATTTATATAAAAATATGTTGAAAAATAAATAAGACAAAACAATAATCAAGTACATGTTAAGTTCAATTCGCTCCCTCTCTGCTGCTGAAACTAAAAACAAAATTCTCTTCTTTTGCTGCATGTTAATATAAAGTATATAGAATTATTGTATATATAGTTGTAAATATGTAAAAAAATCTTTGGATATTTAGATAAAAACCATATGTGCACCGACCCTTTGGAGGGCAGCGACAACACATGAAGTTAAATATTAAATTGAAAGAGAAATGAAAACACATTGGCGCTCAATTTTGCTACTATTTTAGCTATAGTTTTTTGTATAGGTTTTTGTTTAACGTTTTCTTGTTCTTGACCTTTTCTTTCCTTCCTCTTTTCTTTTACTTAATGTTTTGTTTTTCGCAACTAGAATTTTGCGTATGTAACACCGGTTAGTTGTATTCTTTGCTATATACTTATTAATTTATATGTATGTATATATAAATTGTTTTATGCTTATATGTTGAAAATATTTACGCCCTTTGCCTATACATCGCTCACTTCTGCGCTTCTTCTTGCTGACTAGATTTTTTGTTGCAAATTTTGTTCAAACAAAAAACATTTTTTATTTAAAGTATTATAAAAAAAAAATATATATATATATATGGTGATTCTATACATATGTAAGCTTTTTGAATGCTTTCGTTCTGTGCTTCGCTTAATTTTAGCCTTTTGCTAAGGTTTCTGTTTATATTAATTCCTTCTTTTTTTGTTGTTGTTATTGTTTAAGGGTTGGTTGTGCCAACTTTGTTGTTGTGTTGTCGCTAATATTTTAGTAAATTAAACGTAAAATATACAGTTATGTTTCGATTTTAAATTACTTAAGAAATCATACAAAGGAATAGTAGAAAAAATATAATCTCTTACAATATAAAATAAATATGCATGTCTGTGCGTATAACGAGCGCTCCGGTTTCGATTTACAAAAAACCAAAGAAATCATACAAAAAACTTAATTGTAATTAATTAATTAAACAAACTGAAGTCATCAGAGAAGTCTGCACATACATACATACATACGAACGCGATGACAATTAAAAGAAGAAGCAGCAAACAAATGTTTCTTGAACAAATTGAAGCAAGTTGGAAACTAATATAACGCAAAATGATACTCGCTATATAGATTGATAGACTGATAAACTGATGCTTGAAGGCGTGATGAATCGAGCGGAAACGGATGCCGATATTAGTATCTCAAGTAGGGGAAGTTTCGGGTGTTTTTTTTTTGGTATTTTTTTTTATTGGTGAGCAAGCGGATAGAACACTAAGGTGACGCGGCAGGAAGATCAGCATGGTCTATAAAATATATGCGAATGTGTGGGAGAAATGAGGTTCCCACACCGCTCACATACTATAATAGATCCTTTCACTTGCTTCTTCCAAACTACGGCACCAATCCAAATGCTAGAACACACGAGCTTCTTTCGCTTCACTCCTTTCTTTTTAGCTGCTATTTGCTGATTTCTTTGTTTGGTTTTTTAACAAAATGTGCACTTAAATTTCTAGAAATCGCTTTGCTAATGCTTTTTGTTTTCGTTTTTCAACTTGTTTTGTTTTTCTTTTCCCTTTTTGTTTTGTCATATAAAAATCTTTGCAACATTTTCTTTTTTTGTTTTTTTGATGTTGTTTTTGTCATTTAGTTACTGAGTTTTGTGCTACGCTTTTAATGAACGCTAAAAAATGTTTTTTTTTCTTTTAGCAAATCTTACACCCTTCATCAACTCTATATATAAAGTATAGGTATATCGTATATATATATATAATTTTATATAAATATTTAAGTATAATATTCACTAACAATTATTTACTTTAGTAAAAGTTTCAAATTTGCGCATAAATTATTGTATTTACTTTCTTCTCATTCTGCTTCTTTGCTTCATTTTGTTTCAACTTTGCTCATTTTTTCTCTTTTTTTGCACACATGTCCCAAATGCTAGGCTGTATGTTTAAGTGGATGTGTGTGTGTGTGACTGTGGCTGTGTGTGTTAGAGCCGGACTTCTAGTTCAATTAGTCTTATGAAATTCTTATAAATTTAGGTAAAATTACAATAACTTTTTCAATATTTGCTTGAAGGAAATAATTGCTCCTTGAAAGCACTTTAACTGAGAAGGAGCTTAAAAAAATGTAAAATATGCGAAAAATTGAACTAAAAAGCCCAACTTTACTAGTTTGTGTGCCTGTGTGAGTATGTGTGTGTGGGTGTGCGTGTGTTTGTGACAGACATCAGTTTTGCAAGCTAGCGAGACACATCTTCTTTTATATATACTAATATGTGTATATATGAAAAGAAAATTTACACAAAACATACAATTTTATATAATATATTTATATATTAATTATTAAATTTGTTTGTTTGCCTTTTAAGTAGGTTTTTTCGTATAATACTGTAGCAGCCTCCATGTATGCACACAATTATATACATACATATAAATATATGTATGTATATAAACGCATGGCTTTTAATTTGTTTCTTCTTTTCAAGTTAAATACTTTTCAAGTCTGCGCCCCCACAAACTAACGTCTGCACATTTTGTTCACACTTGTTTTTCCTCTTATTTCGCTTTTTTAAAGCATCATCTTTTGTTGTTGTTGTAGAAAATGTTTGGAGTGTAGCTGTCATTTGTTGTTGTTGTTGTTGCTTGTTTACTTTTTGTTACTGGAAGATTTCTTTACTGCTTACTTAGTTTTAAATTTAAAATTTGCTTTTGCTAGTATTTTTTAATTTAAATATAATTACTTGTTTTTTGTTGATTTCTTTGTTTTTTTTTTGTTTTGTAGTTTTCTTTTTGCGACTAATTTGACTGCGACTTCCTCTTTGACTGCGACTGCAACTGTTGCCGGAACACAGTTTATTGCATTTGCTCGACTTTACCAATTTGTTACGTTTTAGTTTAAGTTGTTTTTGTTGCTTTTCGTTTTTTCTTTTCTTTTGTTTCTTTTTTTTTTAATTTTACTTAAATGCTAAACATAAATTTTGCTATTGCAACGGCGGCCGCCGGGGAGTGCGGGCGAGCCGCTTCGTTGTTTAGACGATGACGAGACTTGGAGCCACCTATAGCGCGTTGCGGACTAGTGGGGGGAGGGGGTCGGGTCGGAAGTATGTGTATTACAGAGGCGTTGCATTAACGCTCCTTCTAGCTCCGCGTCGGTATGTGTGTCTGTCTGTGAAGGGGGAGGGGGTTCTGGGGTGGGGTACGGTTGTGTGTGTGTTATACACAAACATTTTTTGTTGCGCTTAGTTACCGTTAGACCATGCATATTTATATATATATATATATATATATATGTATGATTAATTTGCTTTCGCGTGTGTTTGAGTGTTTAAACTAAATCAGTAATGTATGTGTGTGTGTGTGTTTGTGTCTATGAGTGTGTAATTTCTTTTACTTTCCGTCACGCTACTTTTCCTGCAGCTGCACTGTAGTTGTTGTTGTTATTGTTGTTGTTGCTGCTGCTGCTCTCGACTGTCCATACTTTACTTGGCCTTGTTGGTCTTAAAGCTGACCTGCAGCACACGATTGCCCATAGTATAGCCATTGAGGGCGCGTATAGCCATCGCCGCCTCGTCGTAGTTCGTCATGGAGACGAAGCCGTAGCCTTTGCACTGATTCGTTGTGGGATCCTTGACAATCTTCACGGATTGCACAGCGCCGAAGGGGCCGAATAGCTGCCATAAGGCAGCTTCCTCGGTTTCGGGGGCGAGATTATATATAAATATGGGATAAGCACCCCCAGGGCCACTGGCAAGAGTTGTGGCCGCTGCTGCTGCCGCTCCGAGCCCATTGGGCAGCATCACATCTAGCATGTCACCAGCCATGGGTGAGAAGCGTGCCAAGCCCTTGTTGACGGGCGTATGCATTGCTCCGCCAATGCGTCTAACCAGCTGTGGATTGAGGAACGCCGGCAACTGGGGCTGTATAATCTTGCTGGTGCTTCCGGGTGTGTTTGAGAACTTGACCACTATCGGATCGGTGCAGCTTGAGGGTGTAGTGCCATTTAGCGCAATGATGGCGCGCGTTGCCTCTTCTCGCTTATCAAATCGTATGAAGCCAACACCCTTGGTCTGTGTATCGTTGCCGGCATTCTGCAAGATGCGCGATGTAATAATGGCACCAAATGGCGCAAAGATGGCTTCCAGCTCTTGCTGTGTCATAGTCTTGGGGAGGCCGGAAACATACAGATTGGCCCCCTTAATGGCATCAGAAGAGGGTCGAGCAAATGACACCTTAATGGTCTTATTCTGCAGCCGCAGGCCATTCAGCACGTTCACCGCCTGCTCTGCATCCTGTGGGCGCACATAGTTAACGAATCCATAGCCCAAGCTTTGACCCTTCGAGGGCGCCTGTGGATTCAATGGATCGATATACACCTGCGACTTATCCCTTATCAGTTTTACAGACTCAATCTCGCCTACGCTCGAGAACAATGAGCGTATCTCGTCCTCGGTCATGGTCTGAGGCAAATAGTTCACAATCAGATTTGTGCGTGTCTCTGTGCTACCATTGCTTCCGTTCTGTGCCGGGCCTGCAGTGCCGTTGGTATTGGTCTGCTGCTGTTGTTGCTGCTGCTGTTGTTGTTGCTGCTGCTGTTGCTGTGCAACAACGACCTGCTGTTGTTGCTGGGCGACGGCCACTTGCTGTTGTTGCTGTTGTTGTTGCTGTTGTTGCTGCTGCTGGGCGGCTGCCTGCTGCTGTTGTTGTAGCTGTTGTGTAACGGCTGCGGCAGCAGCGGCCACGGCCTGCTGTGTCTGCTGCTGCTGCACCTGCAGAATGGCTTGTTGCACTTGTTGCTGCTGCTGCAATTGTGCGGCGGCAGCGGCTGCGGCCACATTCTGTACGGGGGCGGCAGCATTTGTGGCAGCCACGGCCGCGGCAGCTGCGCTTTGCATTAGTTGGGCCTGTGTTTCGACGCCACCGGCTCCAGTGTTAGCCATCATGAAGTCCACTGGTAAGATCAAGTCGGGTTGTTGTTGTTGGAAACGGCAGGGCACGTTGGTAGGTTTGGTGGGACCAACGCAGTCGCAGCGCATGGAAGAAAGAGTTAAATGTCAAGATTAAACCATTTGCAAGAGCTGTTAGTTATTAGTTGTTGTCAGGGTTTGTTTGTAAATGTTGTTAGTGTTGACTTAGACCTACACCGCCCTTATCTATGATTATCAGAGATACACTTTGCCGGTACCCTGTGCCTCACACTATGCACCTTTTGATCCAATTTTATTCATATGCAAATATATACTTATGTATGTAAGTGTAATCAGATACATATGTATGTGCCCAGTATACAACTTTCTGTACCTACTTATTTTTAAACCAAGAGTTAATTAGAACCTTTTTTCGTTCACACATCCACAGCACTATTTTTTTATTTTTTATCTATGCATCAATTTTTTGTTAATAAAGTTTTAGTAGCAACTCGAAAAAAATAAATAACTAAATGATAAATTGTTTTGCCGTGGCCAAGACCAGTTATGTCGCAAGCACGCGATGCTTCTGAGCACAGTTACAGGACCTCACAAGGCTTTCAGGACTATGCTGCTGTGCCGCACCTACTCGCCCTTAAAAATGTGGCGGTTTTAGTTGTTGCTGTTGGAAATTGTAACAAAGCACGTACCGGGCCAGCCAAACCCAGTTATGTAATACATACATACACACACACACACACTTCAAACAGGGACATACATATGTATGTATGTAAGCCATCATGCACCCCCTTTTAGAGAAAATGTTGAAAAAAAAGTTCGAAACGAAAATGAGCATTCGGCTGCCCCTGGTGCGCAGCAACGAACAACCCTTAAAAGCCAAACAAACAAGTTATAATATTTCTTTTGCAAAAATGCATGTTTATGCTATAAATATGTATGTATATATGTGTATATATGTGCATGTGTGTATACATTTGTATTTTAAAAGAAAACTTGCCTTTGCTTAAGGGTTAAATATGCAATAGGATAATGCCACCCCCTTGGCTGGCAAACAGTACTTGCTCCTTTAATAATGCAAATTCTGTATGGCAACGCCGCAGCGATAACGATATCTGTGCAATGGCTGCTGCAACGATCGTTGTGCGCGCACTCTATTGTATTCTTGAGTGTTCTATCGCAAATTTCTGCTCCTTTTTACCGCTGTTGTGTTTGGTGGGAAGTCAAAAGGTCAAATGAAAACTACTAACTGCACGAACTCACACATACAGATATACTCATAACCCAAACCAAGAGAGAGAGAGCACACAAACCAAACTCTCAATGCTGGTTAACCAGCGCCGCTGTCGGCTTTCAATACCTGTGCGTGTTGCAAACAAACAAAAAAGTCAAATGAAATATTAATGATAATGTTAAAGCCATCCAATAAATTAGATGCGACGTACCCAGTGACATGTCGTCATGCAATCTAAATTCTTAAGTTTGCAGGCATGAACTTAATATAATTAAAAGATCCTTTTCACACGCCTCCACATGAATGTTGAATTTATGTTTGTGTATTGAAAAACTTTGTTTTAATACTCACTTGTTTTAGTTTTGAACGATATTCTTCTATGTATGTATGTTTGATTTTTGTGTGGGGACTCCTGTGGTTGTTTTATGTTGCCAAAAATTAGGAAATTATGGTTCGACTCCTTGTACGCTCGCGCCCCTCACAAAACACGCAGCTCTAACTAATAGCAGTAGCCAACCAGCGCAACTCGTCTCCTCTCTAGCTAGTTAGTTAAGAGCTGCAGCGCTTTCTTGCTTGCTCCAGGGTTCCGCTTTGCAAATGCCTCTTTTCCCTTGAATTTGCCAATAGTATTTTTTTACTAATACTTAGCGTGGACGTCGTGATCGTCTAATGATTGTCGGTACAAACAAAAAAGCAAAAAAAAAAAAAACAACAAAAATATGTTAAACTGGTGAATTTCCTCAGCAGGTCGTTTCATTATCGCTAATCGATTTTATCGATTTTTTCCAACAGACAAATTGCACTTGAAACGTATTTAGCTATAGTTGGGGGCGGGCTAACGGCCAGAAAGCAACAATACCAGAGTCAGATTTTACCATTCGCACATACAAACGTGCATTCATGCTATACATATTTAAAAAAAAAAAAAAAGCAGCAACATTTTTGTTACACAATTTTGAGTCTGTGCTATTGTTTATTGCGCTTTTTTTCAAAACTGATTATAACAACATCTCTCTATTGTTGCCGCTCTTCGCTGATTTGTTTTTTTTTTTTTGCTGCAGCGAACTTGTCTGTGGATGTGTGTGTGTGACGTATGAGCAATGAGAGCACGCCTTCCCGCTCCTTTTTATACAAATGTTCATAAGTGTGTATACGTACGTACATATGTTGCTGTTATTTATACATACAGATGAATTTTAATTTTTTGTTATAAACTAAATGCTACAGCGCTAGCACTTTTTATATATACACAGCCATATGAAAAGTCTCACTCATACACCAGCCTATTTAGTATCTATAATTTTATTGTTGTATTTGTTATATATGTACATTGTTGTTGTTAGACGACGCGCCGCTTATTAAATTAAAACACGCGCTACTTTTAGCGATGTTTTTGGTTGCTCTTGTCTCAATTTTGAAAAACCACATATGTATGTACATACAAATGAACACTACTTTTCTATTTAGTCGCTTTTGAATTGTTCTAATTTGTATTTCCGCACATTTACTCTGATATTGTTGATGGTGTTGTTGTTGTTGTGCATCAACGATCGTTACGCTCACTGGTACTCACTACTATTACTATGGCTTACTATTGTATACTATTTACATACACATGCAGGTATGACGATTAATGTTCACATACATTCGTATACTCTCTTTTTGTTATTGGCCGGCGTTTTGTTTATTTACGACAAAACTTTAGCGCACGCTGCCATTTTAACACAATGCGGTTGGGTTGGTACTGCAACTAAACAAAACTACTACATACTTCTTACTACACCTACTACTAAACTGAAATCTGAACCAATCAATGTCTACTACTATTTCTTGTTGTTGGCGGTATTAATGCTCTCCTGCGCATAAAATCGATGTTAGCTGCGCCCTTTTCGCTACTCGCATACACACACATACGAGACATACACACACACACACACACGCACACTTATACACATAGAACGCGCGTTCACAGATACACATCACAGAGCAGCAGCAGCGCATTAGCAGTAGATTTACGGTGCCTTTTAACACTACAACAACAACTGGTGCTACTATTGCCGCTTGTAGTTTTGTCTGTGCAAGTTTGTTGAACTTTTTGCACTGCCGTTTGGTTTAATTTCCTATGCCTATTTTCATCCGATTTGCACATTATTATATTGCGTTTTACACATATGTATGTACACATATGTATATTTTTCCGTATGCGTTATACACTTGTAAAAAAAAATTAAATTATAATTGCACAATTATGCATCATTTAGTTTTCTCAAATTTTTTGCCGTTGTCATTGGTATACGTTACACAAATCAAATGCGCTTACGTTGGATTTGTTGTTGTACTCTTTGCACTATACGTTTTGTTTAATGAATTGTTGTCGCTATTCTTTTACTACTTTCAAAAAAAATCAATTGCAAAAAGAGCAAGCACTGACAACGCACACGAGCGTATAGGAATACGACTGCGACTGCGGCGTACGACGTTTGGCGTGGAAATGAACTAGAGGAGCTGGCGCCGCCGTTGAGCGCGTGCGAGAGTCGTGTGTGGCAGTGGCAACGAAAAACGGGAAAAATCAAAATGGCCGACTACTAAAGCAAGAGTGCGAATGAGAGAGAGAGAGAGCAGCGCGGCAGTGCAGGCATCGAGATAGAGCACCCTTTCCAGTAGCTATAGTAGCCTGGAAAAATGTTATAGTATACCTCCCCGCTGTAGGAATTGCAATTTGGTCATTCATATGCATGGTTCATTTGTAATTTGTATTACTACTTATATTGCACAATCGAACCTGGACCAGACCTCCATTCTGACTGGTGTTAAGCGTTGCCAGCTGGTTGTGCTAGATGGGTGCTGCCAATCGATTATTGTTTAATGTATATCGCGTAGGACGGTAATCTGGCACCCATACAAGCACACACACATATACACTGTCGGCATTCCAGCGTTGGAAGGATAAGGTCGTCAACCGTTTTATAATGCATGCGTTCTACATACATACGGATAAATGTGTGTGTGTGTATGTGTGTCCATATCCTTGCCAAACTCTGCTGCTTGCATGCCAAGAAGAGGGCTGTTTGTATGTGTGTGTGTGTGTTTTTTGTGTTTTTGCACTGCCGTCTAGCCGGCCAGGCAGCCAGTTGAAGCAACCCCCGCTGTATCTAGGGTTGTTTCTGTATTGCCGTACACCCCCTACCCAACAACAAAAACTCTACTACCACTACCGGCAACAGCAGCTCAACCACAACCACCCATTGCCGGCAGGACATGCTTTTTGGCATGCGTGTGCTTAATTACGCCTGTATATGTAGATATGTATGCATGTATGTATGTACATATGGATATACATACATATGTATGTACTTGTGTGTGCTGGTTTCCTGTTATTTTCTGCCACCCGTTTCCATGTGCTGATTTTAATGAAAGTCGGCCGTCAGAGTCGCCGCCTGTCTGTTCCAATTTACACGCAAGCCACATTGTTAATGTTGTTGTTGCTGGCGACGCAGGCGAACCATAAAAATTGTAACTCAAATCGCTTACAAAAACACAAGCAAGTTTTTCGCCAAGGGTTGGTTTTCTTTTTTTTTTGCTTTGCAAAGTATCTGGTATATGATGCTGTTGTAGCAGGGAGCCAGCGGGGGTTGTCCAACGCATCTTGTTCAGACAGATCGGCGTCGCAAGTGTTTTTGGTGCGTGCGCGCATATAGCACATAAATACATGATAAGCGTATTTTTTTTTTGCATCGCTGGTCATTTCGAACGCGACCCCATATACGCAAGCAAACATTTCTATGTATACATAAGTACATACATATCTGTCTGCCCACTCTTTTTGTGGTGCGACACTAATATCGCACACTCACATATAGAAACAAACTGTATTCGGCGATAAGGATCTTTGATAATATTAATTGCGACAGCTATTTCTGCTCGATCGATATTTTTATTGCTGCAGCGTACGCCGCTTGGTATGCTACGTTTATTACAACATTGCCAGCATCAAAAAGGCGAGAGAGAGAGAAAGAGAGAGTGTGAAGAGAGGGATGCGGCACTCCTAATCCTTTAGCTCTAGTAGAAATACATCCTTTGTGCCAAAAACATCCAACAACACCTTGACTACTTACAATGGTGAGCAGCATCGGCAGCAACAAAAACAAAGGGATTAAAAAGGCAGGAGAAACAAGATTACAACAACAACCACAACAGCACCGCTGCCGCTGCCGCTTCAGCCGCCCTTAACTCTTGTTATATATTTTGAATAAACAATGACTAAACTAAAAAACCAATGCAGGCTCAATCGCAGTACGAGGAGAAGAAACAATGGTGCACACACACACATGGATATGTACATAGATAGTATATGTGTATGGGTTTGAATAAAAAGTTCCTGGAACAACCGCCAGGTATCGCTCTAAGTGAGCTGATTTGAATTCTATTTTATTTTTTTTGTGGGTCCGCCAACCGTTCAGGACATTGTAGTTAATGATTTGGGTTTGCGCCGTGTTGAAGCAAAATTCGTTCCAAAGGACCTGAAAAAAGACCGATTTGACATCGCCAAAGACATGAAAAATGAAAGAAAATGCACATCCGGAAAGAGAGAGAGCTGGATCAAACTTTGGCAGTCCCAGTTGATGGGGAGTACTTTGAAAGAGACGATATCACTTTTGATGAACAAACTTGATCAAGAAGTATGAATGTGGACATATATACGGTGGCTCGAAAAAGCAGTCTTTATTGGAAAAACACATATTTTATTTAAAAACGAAATTGCAAATTGTTTGCTCACCAATAATAATGAGAAACAAATGCAACATATTTCATTTCATTATTTTTGTGTATGTACATACATATATATGTTGTTATATATGTACGTAAAATGTGCAAGTAAATGTATTTATATATGTAGGTATGTAGAAGGCTGGAACATGCTTATAAAACAGTCTGCCAGGGTGCAGGAAAGAGCCACATGATTCATCAACCCCTGCGTGCGCAGCCTGAGGCGGTGGCTTTACATTTACATATTACACACAGCCATGCATACAGAGCCAAATACATACCTATAATTGTAGGTATGTACATATGTATGTATGTATGCATGCACATGTGCCTGCTATGGCTGAGGTCCTTGGCTTGCTTTTAACTTTGCACGTCTCGCTGCACAAACGCTCGCCGCTCGGGCTCTGCGCAGGCTCAGCAGCTGAGCGAGCCAGCCAGCCAGCCAGACACGCACACGACAGATGCAGTTTTTCCCGAAACTAATAATAATAATCATAAAAATTACCATAAGACACCGCGCGAGCTGGCGATCGCGATCGCGTTTGGTTGCAGCAGCAGCAGCAGCAGCAGCAGGCAGGAGCAGAAGCCGAAGCCGACGTCGAGGCAGCGACAGAGGCGACAAAGCGATAGGGGGCAAAAGGCCAAAGAAAGTAAGGCAAAGCGAAGGGTGAGGCAGTGTGTGAAAGTGAGAGCGTGCGAGGGAGAAAGAGAGTGAACGAAGGCAGGCAGTCAGTCAGTCAGACATCAGAAGGGGAGGATCAGGACTTGCAGGACTGCATGTCAATGCCATTTTAATCGTGGCATGTGTTCCTTTTTTCCCCTGACATTCTTGTTTTGTTTGTGGCTCCTGTGAGATCTCATTGCAATTGCTATTTTCCCGATCCTAGCCAAATGCTGGAAATTGAATTTCTAGCCGAGTTCACATAAATGCATAAATGAGTTGTTCTAGCTGATGGCGAATGCTTTACAAAAAGGATATATGTACATATTCATTTCCCATTGGGATCTCTATCTCTCTCTCTCTCTCTCTCTCTCTGCGGAAGCTAACATCCTTCATCGATTAGAACTAGTTTTTAGATCTAAAAAGAATAGTTTCTATTACATTTTTGAAGATTTTAATTATAATAATCGACGTTTTAGGCGTACACATTTCCAGGATATTGTGCTTTTACATAATAATATTCATATTCTAAGGAGAAATGTTGGTGAACAATCAAAATGCAAATAGAATCAAAATGTTTAATAAATGTCTATTATATATGTATGTACAAAAGTGTACTATACATATGCACCTAATTCTGTTTTTACACGGTTTGAAAATTAAAAATGTTATATATGGTTACACGACTTTATTCCATTTAGCACGATTCAAAATAACATATGATCAATGTCTTTTTTTACACGTTTTTTTTTTTACTCGACTTTTTTAGGAACTAATCTACCGTGTAAAAACAGAATTAGGTGTATGTGTACTCTGAAACAACCATAATTTGTGCTTAAACTGCGATCATATGAAATCTTCACGGACGGAAGAAAATTAAAAATACTATATTCTGCCAATATGTTATATAAAAAGAGATTTATTAGAGTAGCAAATTAAAAATAAATTGAACAAGAAATGAGGTTACTTCTTCTATGAAATCAAGATATTAAGTAATTTGATAAGAAATGCAATCCCATGAAGATTCATGTTGAAAACGGTAATACGTTAGGGCAGATCATTATTAACATTAAACATACATAAGACAGATATATACGTAATTTTTCAGACATGCTCCCAGACATTACCATCATCAACAACATTATTGTTTTAATGGTTGGAGCCATAGTAGGCACAAAATTTCAGAAAATTGAATTGATCTAGGTGCCTAGCCAGACTGGTATTAGAGTATTCAAATTATCGACAAAGTTACCACTAATATACAACTTAAAGGCTTAAAACTTAACTACACTCAAATACACACCCCAACAATTAAGATAATGAACTCTCTCCCACAATATACCACGCCTGATAATCTCTTGATTCACTGTCTTAGACAACTCAAAACCCGTCTCCCTTATCTCAAATTCTAGAATATATCATACAATTTCCAAGAAATTCGAATCCATACAATCACATTTATGCTATCAATGGCATGGCCAGAAACAATCAAGTTAGTTAACTTTACAGTTTCAACTTAAAGCTAATTGAATTGAACAATTGGGGAGGGATGAAAGCCATTGTTAAATTGGCGATATTGTTGCCGAAACTTGTGTTTATGTTTTATATTTAAATAATTTATATTCAAATACAATTTGTCAGAAATGAGATCTGTGTAGAAAATAAATTAAAAAGTTGTCTTCGTTCGCATTGAAGCTATGCATAAACTTTATTTCCTCATGGTCCTACTAAATGCTAAAAAGCAACCATTTTAAAAATTATTTTTATTTTTGGTTATCCATAGTCACCTTTCGCGACCCAGCAGTAATGCAAAAACCATCAGATATAACTGAAACATTCTCAATGTGAAATCTTATTTCCATATCCTCAGAAATACAAAATTTTGATACGAAAAGCAATTTTGTAATCAAATCGTTTGTATCACAGGCAAGGGCGTACGCAGCTTTTACAAAAGGGGGGAACCAAAAAATGAAAATTTTGATTAAATAATGCACAATGCATTCAAAAATAATAATAGTCATAATAATGAACTTTATATGGTAAAATTTTTTGTAGGTGGCTGTATTTTTTTTAATTCGATTTTACAATTTTATTTATTTACGAATGAAACACTTGCAAACAGAGTAAAAAGTGACTGTCGAACATCTTAAAATGTGCAGCAATAAGACAGAAAACGATGGTTGATTGCGTTGACGAATCGCCACGAAACTTCACAGGATTACCCATTGGACTATTTTGAATATTGCCACAAAATTTGATCAACATCGGTTGAGCGGTTTCGGAGTTTATACGGAACATATATATGCATACATACATACTTCCATTTTTATATATATAGATATATAGATTATTGAACAGCATGATCAGGAATGATTTAGGCATGATTTAGACCTATCTGTCTGTCCGTATGTCCGTCTTGATCTCAGAGACTATAACAGCTACAGTCAGCAAATTATGTACACAGATGCCTTATATGTATGTGTTTGCAGTACAAGTTAATTTTTCAGAGACTATAAGAGCTAAAGCTAGCTCCCGTGAATCTTGAATTGTCCAAGCTCTGCCAGCAGCTGTTGTTGTTATTGCCACATAGATACAATCCCGACACAAATGTTACGTTGAGTCCGCAAAAGTTGATCGAATTCGGGAACGAGAACGAGGATCGTATAATAATATATATACTTAATATAGTATGTGTTCGCTGAGCTCAAACCAATGTACTTGTGCCTCATTTAACAACGGAATTTCTTCAACACTTGCTAGGCTTCAATGAACGAGGCTCCATGACGGTCTCTACACATATAAACCCTAACTTGAACCCGAATCGATGGTTTTATAGACAGAAACCAACATATGGTCTATTGCTTAGTTACTTACATACATACGATCAGTACACTAGATGTATTTATATTTTGTTTTTCATACCCATTCTTAATTCTGTGACTCATTTCAGTTTGCCGAAGGATCAGTTGGTTTACATTGGGCTGCGGGACGTTGACCCCTACGAGGCGTTCATAATGAACAAAATTGGTATACGCGCCTATGCCATGGATGTAAGTATGTAATGCAGCAGCCACATACGCACACAGAGAGAGAGAGAGAGAGAGAGAGAGAGAGAGAGGGGGGGGAGGGAGAGAGAGATCCTTCTAGCTACCATATAGTATTTGTTGTTTTCGTGGCAGTTGTAAAAATTGTTAAATTCCGGTTTTTTATTTTGCTTAAAAGGATCAAATGACGATCGTGCCTGACTGCCTCAAAATTACATCGCCTATATACATACATGCATATACATATATATGTATATATATATATATGTATATGTGTGTGTGCGTTGTAAGCCGACGACCTACGTTGTAAGCTCAGCACTTATAGGGGTTGCCTGGCCTAGCTGGCTGGCTGGCTGGCTGGCTAGCACCCTCCAGCACGCAACACTCCCTACTATGCGATATCACAAGTCCTTGCCAACTCCCCCTGGCATAGTTCGTTACATTGCATTGGCATTACACATAGTGCTCGCTTCCGATCTCACGGTGGTTGATACGTGCCCAGACACTTCCGTCCTCAGCAGCGCTCCTGTCCTCGTTCGGCTGCCTCGTTGCCTGCCATTATTTATGGCTCGTGCAAAATCAGCGTTTGTTGAAAAATGGTTTAATGGTTCTAAGCTGAAAATTTATTATAGCTCATTAGTTCGATCGGAATATGCGCGGCGAATTTCGCAAAGGGAACGACGTAGGGAGGCTAAAGATGCGACACAATTGATGCTTTGTACAGTTTGGCGATTTGGCAATCGGAGACCGTCGTCTGAAGAGCTCGTCAATGGCCGCCATTTACTGTTTAGCTCAGCCAATGGCGAGATTTGCTTGTGCTTTTAATACAGTTAGATCTGTAAATAGCATACAAACACCTCATACAATAGTAGTAGAAAGGTAACGCAATCCACAGATCCGTTGAATGGCGTTTCTTGGGAGAGAGCTTTTAATGACGTAATTGTACCATAAACGACAGTAGTTCGGGAATAGTATTTAGAAATAATCGGAGGACTATTATTTTTAATACGAACATGTTTCCCTGTTACCTACAAGTATTTGTTTATAGCTTATTTATTTTTGCTGTGTTTTAGAAATAAAATGATGTATTAATATTATTTATTAGATCGTGTAATTTCGAAGAAGCTTACCAACGTAATTCGTGACGCCAAATTCAAGTTCAAATCTGTATATTTTATGCAGAAGTTATACAGTCGGTATTCTGTTTTTACACGAACACATTTCCCTGTTACCTATTTGTTTTTAGCTTATTTATTTTTGCTGTTTTAAAAATTAAAAATTTTTTATATGGTTACACGACATTATTCCATTTAGCACGATTTAAAATAACATATGATTTTTATGAATTTACCGTGTAAAAACAGAATTAGGTGTACTTGTGAATACTACAGTGAAAACTCCTCAACGGACACCTCTTTTATCCGGACACTCTCTTCGGCGGTCGGTGTATAAAGTATTTAAGTATCCCCTTAAGCGGATACTCCCCTTGGGCGGGCGAAAATTGGCCGACCGTGAGTGTCCGGCCAAGAGAGTTTTCACCGTATTTTAGCGGAGATGTGGTTTGGAGGTTGTTAGAAAATTCGATTTGAAAATTATCTTTGAACTTTCGAAGGGTACATCAATAAAATCGAATAAAATTTTAATATCTATCAAGACCATTTTCTATTCGCCGCTTTGAAAAACTGGGAGCCAAACCGGCATCCATCAAAAAGGCCATTCTCGGGCTTATTAGTTATTGTTTATTTTTCTGTTTGTAATGTCGGAACGCTAAAATGTGGACTCCAACAGATTTTAGTATTACATCAGCATTATTCGAAATTAATAGGCTATCGTATACGAGCATAATTGAGGTAGTGCTTGGGGTTATCAGTGGGGAGAGCCACCCAAAGCCCTCTCACACTTCATGATCTATTTATTTTTTCTTTCTTTAATTCTACCTATTTTTTTTTAATTTCAGTCGATTGATCGAGTTGGTGTGCCGAAGATTATTGAGATGACGCTGGACGCACTAAATCCACAAAACAAGATCCATGTGAGCTTCGACATTGATGCACTGGACAGCCATGTGGCACCCAGCACGGGAACTGCAGTCCGTGGGGGTCTCACATTGCGTGAGGGCATCAGCATTGTGGAGGCACTGCGTGACACGAAACGGGTGCAAGGTGTCGATCTGGTCGAAATAAATCCGAAGCTGGGCAGCGAGCACGATGTGCGCACCACCGTAGATTCGGGCCTGGAGATACTGAAAAGCATGTTTGGCTATCGACGCTCCGGGGCTTGGAGCAACATCGACACTGGCATATTGGGATAGTTTAAGGGGGCGAAGGTCGGGGCGTGTTCACTTAAATCGCACATCGCTTGGCATATATTTATGTACAACTTTATGCTTAATATTAAATTAGATTACATACATACGTACAATAATAAAAATGAAATCAAATGAGAGAAACCAATCAAAAAATTGCAGGAATGTCATATAAACAGCAACTTTTAAGGTTGATTTCCGTAGACTTTTGTGACCGTTCGAGACTACAATATGAACTCGTATATTCAATTTCTTGTTGCTGTCGCTGTCCTGTTGTTATCGTAGCAGGAAATTTGATGCTAAATGCTAGGCTTGGGTGGCGCCGTCGGCAAATACGCCGATATATCGACACTGGCCATTAAATTCGCAGTGTTGAGCAATTCGTTGCCTATACTAATGCCAGGTACTGGAGCTGCTGCAGCGGCTGTTGTCGCAGGTCCTGCTAATGTGCGATGTCCATGTGTCGCTGCTGGTGGCTGCGGCGCGGCTGACATGCGTTGATATACGCCCGGTGCAAAGATACGTAGCAGTCGTCGCTGGATGTTTACCAGCAACGCGTTTACAGCACCCGAAATGACAATTATGCCCGATATGACAGAGCAGAGGCGTATTGCGAAGGTAACCAAATGGTCCCGGTCATTGCGCACTACAATTTTGAGAGCCGACCAATCGTACTTAAAGTATATACCCGGTGAGCCATATGAGTTGCGTTCAGAGTCTATAAGAGGAAAGAGTTGAACAAGAAGTTGAACCGACTGGTAGCACACTAAAGTTTTCCCACACTCACCCAACTTTCGCATATTTTCCGTCACCGCGTATTGGAAGGTGTTGATGGTAGAGAAGGTTTGCTCGATTTCTGTGGGCACTATCTTCAAAAAGTACTGCACCGTGGTAGCCTCTTCAGTGATAATCCTTTCATCGCCCTCCAGGGGCTGTACAAGGCGGCGCGAATACTGGCCAAAGCTCAACCGATTAATGCGATGCGTGAAATTAGCCGGCATGCGTCGAAACTCAATCATCCAGTGGTCCTCAAAGAGGCCCACAACGGGTTGTGCACCTCCCACCAAATGTAGGACGCCGGCCACTTTATTGATGCCCAGCGTGCCGTGCAAGCGGCAAGCATCGTATTTGATTTCAGGTGTTTGGTGTGCTTGATGTAATTGCATTGCAGCTGGCATAGCGCCAGCCGGAGCCGGTGACTTTTCTGGCCCCGTTGTCTTTTCGGTGTGCGTTTCGTGGCGGTCACGTAGAATGTCCTTGAAGAGTAAATCCGCTACGGAATGATACTCCTCGCGCAGATAGTGATTGGTGAGTTGTATGCTTTGGAAGTGCGCACGTTCCGAATCTGACATTTTCCACCAGACTCCCTCGCGCTGCAGCGTGCCATAGGCAAAGACATCCTGCTGCGTCTCGTCCATTAGATCGACGCCAGACAGTGAAGCGCAGGGCATTGCCACTGTGATGTCAACATGCATCTGCACCTGCTCATCCAGCGCTATGTCTGGCTCGAACTGATAAATAATGTCTGTTTCATGCCAATAGTAACGCAGTTCCGTATAAACCAGATAAATGATGAGCAAACGGCTAACCAGCGATACTGCAATTAAAGACAAACATACATATTTATAAATTATGATTCAACATAATATGTCTTCATGCAACGCTCACGTGTGCCGCCAATTTCCGTTGTTTCTGTGTACTTCTCGGGCACCTTTTTAAATGCATCAAGATTCTTGGCCAGTTCAAGCAAATTGCTCTTATCGCCTCGGTAACGTAGCGTGGCTGTCATCTCGCGTGTGCGCTTTTCAATGTTTGTTGTTGTTGTGCGACGTTAAATTTATTCGATGTAGGGCAATTATAATACATTCAAATAATTAGATTTAATTGTGCAGCGTTCACGGCATCATTAGTGCCACGTACTCCGCACGGTGCGCGCCCACAAAAATACAGAAAATCACATCGAATTCGTTGCCGGCCTATATCACTACAAACAGCTGTTGCATAAACCAGGGATGCAGCTCTTCAACATTGAAAGCGAGTGGCAGCACTATGCGGGCCGTTACAGGTCATTACAAAAAAGGCAATGTTATGACTAATAATTTTCAAATGTTACATGGTATACATAGTTATTGCTATAAAGTAATTGAAATTGTAGCTTATAAAAATTTAAATTTAAATTTAATCAACGTGCACGATGTCTTGGTTGATTGCATGACTTGTTACAGTTCAAATGGCTTGGCAGCACTGTAAAGCCGCTCAAAAATAATGCAGTGCCGCTGCGTCGGTCAACAGCTGCAAAAACGTTTTCGCCAGACTATTCACCTGAGAAACTCGTAACGTTTGAGACGTTTTTTGCCAGAGCTCTCGCATAATTGCTGTTTAACTGGCTAACGGCGGTAGTGCAAACTGTTAATAAGTCTGTAGACAGCAACAATTGAAATCAGAAAAACAAGTTTTGGTAATTAGCATATATATATTTATGTACATACCTATATATAAACATACATACGTATGTACAAATACAATTTATGGTTTTGGTCCCATTTTGATCAGTTGATTTGCCAATATTGCAGCTATTGTCATTGTCACAGTTGTTGCTGTCGCTTCTTCAGTTAACCCCTTTATTTCGTTTCAGCCATTAATATTGAAAATCGTTAAAGTCGTTGACGTCGACGTTGATCACAATACCTGTGATGATGATGAGTTCCAAATGCGCATTTGTCGCCGTCACAGTGTTTGCTTTACTGTTGACGCACGGAGGCGTAAATGTTGTGGAGGCGCGCCGTACCCAAAGCAACCAACGCAAAACATCGTCACCATCGTCCAGCAACTCAGGGCACGTGACTCAGCCTAGTTACAACACCCACAACAACGGCGGCGCCGGTAATACCCATGCCGATGTTGCCAAGCTCAGCTATCCCAACTATAATTCACAGCCGAATCGTCCGGCCACCGGTACCGGCAATGCAAATTCGAATAATGCGGCTATTGGCTGGAATGTGCCCCAGGGTCCACCACCCGCTTATTCCGCCTCGAACCCTGTAGGCGGTGCCAAAACAAACATGCACGAGCAACCGCCCTCTTACCATGCTCCAAATTATGGTGCTGCACCGCCTAGCTATGGTGCTGCAGCACCCAGCTATGGTGCCAGTAATGTGCATCAGCCCATATCGGCCACCCAGAATCATGGTCAGACGTATGCAGGCTACCCGTCTGGCGGCACCTATCAGACTGGAGGACATATGCCCGGCGGATACTATCCTGGAGCTGCTGCACCACCACCAGGTGCTACTGTCTACCAACAGGGAGCTGCATTGCCACCAGGCGCCATATTATATAGTCAGCCACCACAGCAGTCTTCCGGCTCGGGCTTCGGTAAGTCTACCTTGTATGCCAATCTTGTGGCAATATTTGCATTAATCACGCTACTTTACAGGCACAGGGCTTCTGGCTGGTGGCCTAGGTGGCGCCCTGATTGGTCATGCACTGACACCTTCGGGCGGCAGCTCCTCTCAGGCTGCAGCCGCCGCGCCTGCTGCAGCTGGTGGTACTGATCGCATAATCATAATCAACAATGGTGTGCCAGTAAATGCCACCGATGGTACCACAGTCATCAATGCGGCGGGCCAACCTATGAATACAACTGATGTTGCAGCTGCTCCTGCTCCACTGGCCCCACTTGCTCCAATGGATGGACAGTCGACAATGCCAGCTAATGGCACCGATGCCGCTGCTCCTCCACCGCCAACTGGACGCATTATTTGTGTACCAACCAAGGTTAACGAAACGGATCCAACGGACAGCAGCAAAATGATTGAGGTGGAGAAGGTGGCCTGCTATCCAGAACCCCCACCACCCGCTGCCGCACCAGGTGAAGGACCAGCGCCTCTGGCCCCCATGGCTCCTGCTCAGCCGGGCTCACAACAAGTCCAGCCACCTGGCGCGGTGCCTCCCGATCAGGCAGCCGTGCGTGCCAACGCAAGCAGTGGAGCCAGTGCTGTGCTTCGTACCATTGATGGCAGCCTCTTGGCCATGGTTATACTCTTTAGCGCCCTTTTCATGCGCAATTACGCTAATTAGAGCCGCTCGACTCGTATTTGTTGTGCAGACGTCGCGAACGTTCCAATTTGTTGTGCACTTTTTATTTGCCTCACCCTCACACCCCCAACCAATGCTCACATCCACAAGAACACAATTCAACCCAACCCAACACGAACAAACATAAAGAAGCCCCGTCCACTTATTTGAAAAGTACTCAACAATGTTGTTATTTATTAGTATTGTCCCCCCCTACATACAAGTATATAGTATTCCAAAGCTCGCCCCTGATATTTCCGGCGACCTTCGCTTGCAATTTGTGATTTCTAATACGGCAGCTTAAACTAAAACTGTGAATTTGAATCTCGTTAAATTATATATATACATACATGTATTGCGAATATAATATGTTATGATAAAATTGTGAAACTAATTTTGACTCATAAGCCTAAAAGACATCTCAGTGTATATTTTTGTAATTGTTAACAAATTTATGACACATAACGAATGTGCCTATATTTACATATACATACAGATATTACAATTTTGCACTTTCTATTTTTGCATTGTTACATTTTCGATCAACTAATAAAAAGCTCCAGCACACACACACACACACCCAGTTTAATTAATTAGTCTGTGATAAAAGGCACGAATGGGAAACTTATCTATAATTTAGAACCGGTTTAATCCACAGCTTCAGTTCCCTCCCTACTTATAAATACAATGCAGTTAAATAATTGAAACTTGTGGCTTCCTAAGAAATAGTGTTCAGCCCGATGAGGGCATGCTGCTATTCGCATAACATCAAGATGGGAGTACTACGGTAATTTATTGACATAGCAACAAAATATAGCAAATAGCAGCTGTATATAAAATTGATTATCACATTTGCGTATAACATATTGAACAATTTAATTTACCCATATCTGGAATATTTTAAGAATCAAAAGAAGGTAATTGCGAAGTAGCCCGACTCTTTTATATGCGTGTGCATACGTAGTTCTGGTGTACGTAGTTCTCTTCTTAGTGTAGGCTGATTTGGTCAAAATTTCTGTTAAATTTCTAGAATTATATATGAATCTCGTTTAAAGTGCTTCGTTTGTGTAGCTTTGAGAACTGTATTGAAATTCTGTAGCGCGGGATGGAGGGAAAAATATGATCCTGACAGATCGGTTTGTCTTGTCATGCTGATTAAGTATGTTAATGTTTTACAGGGTCGGAGATGCTTCCTTCTGCCCATTACATAACTTTCATAAACATAATATACCCATAAACATGATCAGTGTATGGATAAGACAAGTCTAGTGCCAAGTTCGGTATCTTCAGCAGTTTTGACTCAAAAGATCGTAGTGTTCATATGGACAGCTATATTGATTCCAAACAAGTTTTGGCATTAAGTTTGATTTTTGAACCGATCTTTCTATTGGCACTTATATGATATAATTTACCCCCTTTGATGAAACTAGAAAACGTTATACTAGGACGAATTTTTGCACCGATCGGCTATATAAAATAACGAGACTATATATGGTTCGAAATTAAGTTGGCCACAGCTTTCATGTTTCAAATTTCTTCTTTCCTGTTACAGCCATCTGGCATCAGGACTTTCTAGTATAATTTTTCAATAAAACAAGAATCAAGTCCTAGAGTGCTTAAGTAATTTAAAGAGTAAGAGAAAATTACTAATAGCGAATAGTAAACTTAGTAGAATTTGAGTTTAATTATTCTTGCTGTAATACTGTACTATACTTTCTGAGAACCTTCCGCTCATACCGACAGACTCGACCACATCGTCTTGTTTCGTCAGACTATATTATATGAATAATATTTGTACATATAAATATGTACCTATGTACATGTTTATTTCGTGCAGGCGCAAAAATTTACTTTGAAATGCCCTTACAGGCAAATTATAAACAATAGCCAACAAATTTAAACGCCAATTTGTTGATAACCTAATATATATTTTAAAAGGGATTGCATTGTTTTCTATTAATAATATTTAAGTCAAAAAATAACAAAAACTAAAAGGATTTTAGGTCACAGCTTATTTCGTGCAGTGGCTTCATACTTCAAAAAATGTATTTTAAATTAATATTTAATATTTGGTTTGGCCATTTTTATATTGGACAAGGGTTTTCAAATGGTTATTGATAGAAGCCAGAAATTTGTTTGTAGTTTCTAATGGTGTTTTTCGACATTCTTCCGATATGGCCTTCTTTGGGTCATTTATGTTTTAAATTTGCCGTTTCCTAATAGCTTAATCCAAAATTGCCAAAAAATTTAATGTCAAGTCTGCTGACTGAGCTGGCGGAATCATACCGTGTTGACAGTTCTAGATCAGCCAAGTCTGCACAACTCCCGATTTATGATTTGGGTCATTGCCTTGGTAAAATGGAAAAAGATTCCCAAACCCAATCAGACATACAGGCCCAAACATTTACTACCCCTCCTCCGTGCCTAGATGTAGGAATAAGATGTTTCTTTTGAAGCGGATTATTCGCTATACACCATTCCCGCTGCATTCGGTTGGACCCATTGATATTAAATATGGACTCGGCTGTAAAAATTACGTCGTTCCATCTTGAGATTGGCTTCAGAACGAAATGCTTGGCAAATTAAAGTTGGCACATCTTATTTCTTGGGAACATAAACGGCTTCCTAAAGGTTGTCGACCATTGAAAGCGTATTTCCCCAGCACACGGAGGATGGTTTGTGCAGAGGATTTTTTGCCCAGTTCATCCCCTATTTGTACGGCTAATTTGGGGCTTTCTTTAATTTTTCGTACTTTAATTAATTCTAATTCTCACGTACAAGGCGTTCGATGATGCTCTGCACTTTACCAGGACTCAGATGTACGAGTTCCGCTATTTTCCGTTGGCTCATGCCTTCTTTATAATGCAGGAGCACCAATTAACGACCCAAAAAGCGACCCATACTTAAAAATGCTAAAAATATTTATATTGAATTGGGAAAAAACGGAAAATTTATGGAAATAAATTAGTTAACCCATTGCTAATTAGAATGGAAGAACTCCATTTCGGTTAACCATTCGACAGTGCTCGCGAACGTAAGTCACTGCACGAAATAGGCTGTGACCTTTGTTTGGTTGCAATATGATCCATTTCTGTTTTGTTGAAAAATAAAGCAATGCGCGAAACTCACTAAACTTATCAAATATATTATAAGTAAATAGCTACAATACTGCATTTAAGAAATTTTGATTTAACAAAGCGTTTTAAAGATTAATAATAATAATAAAAATAAATAAGCTGCGACTCACTGTATATGCTTTGTGGGTCTGCTCTTTTACTCAGAATTGGGAGAATTGGTGCCAGAATCGAAATTCGATTTAGATTAATTTGTAGTTACAAGCAAAATGGCCTGGACGCCCAACTCCCAAATGCTAGAATATAAATTCAACATTTGCTTTTTAAGTTACAATTTGCATGGACAGTGGCATTTAATCGATATTGGCATTGCTGTTCCATTTGAGTTGGCGAAACAGAAGCAAATACTTCGTTCACGGTCCAATGACTTAAAATGTAACTCAACCCTACCTTGAAGGGGATCAATTATTTAATAATATACATACATATGTATGTATGTATGTATATCTCTCTATTTCAGTTCGCTAAAAAATAAGAATGAAATTACACGTTGGCTTCGAGTTAATAGATTTTATTGTAAAAACTCTGCTTTTTTCTTTTATGTTTTTTACATTGTCTCATTACTTGCATAAAAAAACACGCTCTCCGCTGAAACGATCGTGTGGTGATTATTAAAAACATAGAGACTCAGCAATGTACTGATGTGTTGAGTCGATTTTTACTCGGCATCATCATCTTCATCATCGTTGGAGCTGATTCTGAAGTAGCGGAGCTCATAGGATTCCTTCGAATTGGCAACGACACGGATCCAATCACGCAGACTGTTCTTCTTCAAGTACTTCTTGGTCAAGTACTTGAGGTAGGCCTTGGAGAAGTGCACGTCGGAAGTCACGTTCAGCTGCATCTTCGAACGCTCAAAGGTGACGTTGTTGCCCAGATTGTTGACTTTTCCGTTCACCTTAAGACGCGCCTTCACGTATTTCTCCTGTGAATTGCGAGAGAGACGGCACGAGTTAGTGTCGCGAAAGACAGGGAGAGAAGCAGTGAGCGAATAGCGCATGTAATAACGCTGTCTCTTTCATTGTTAAGGCAAAAAATCAAGGATATTGTAAATTTTAAGCCCAAATAAGGAAGAGTGACCAATTTTTTAATATGCCACTGAGTACACTGCCATCAGAGCGACGCAATGAGCTCACTCTCTGACGGCAAATCGGCGTGGCCTGTTAAAGAGATTACACGTATATTAAATGGCAAAGAGTCAGTTACCTGTTTCCACATGAAGGCATCATTTGTGGGCGCCCTGCTCAGTCTCTAAACTTATTCTGAAGTCCATTCAATATGAATAACTGGCGCGTGTAGCGCAATCGGTTTTCCCCGGAATTGGGTGCAATTAATTCTTTAGACAAATTTCTATGCGAAATATAACTCGGCTTTGCTTTTAAACATGGGAAAACCTGCAGCGTTACAATTTTCGATACGCTTTGGCAGGGCGCACTATGAATTTTGGCCTGTCACGACACGGATGTGACGTCGACAACCCAGGGCCCACCACGTGGCGGTACACATAGCACGACTTGACACTGTTCACAGACGGTTGCACCTACTGGCCAGACCCAGTACTGGCGATCAGTGGCTACCCCGTTGTGCAGCGTCCAGAGCCCCTTCTCAACGCGCTTCCCAAGGGAGAGGAAGCGTTTTTAATCGCGACGCGTATTGCTTGAAAGCAACAGAAATTACGAATATTTAAAAGAAAAAAGGCAAGGAAAAAAAAAAACGAACGCGAAGCTGTGCAAAGCCTTCTCTCGAGAGATTGAGCGTCCGTCCGCAGCAATCGGCCACAGTGATTGTCGAGTTAGTTGAGGAATTAGAGGATGTCTCATTATGTTGTAGCAACCTGTGGGTTTTATTAGTCCACAAGCAGCTAATTGCTAAATGATATATATTTGCTATCACCATCACGTTTTAACCAGAACCATGCGCAAAACGCGGCAAAGATTAGCTTGGTGTGGTTGGAAGCAACAGCATAATATTCGTCACCATCTTGATTGATCGCTGTGACCGCTGCCGCAGAGAACTTATGAAGGCGCTATTCCGTGGATGCCGACATCATCGTGTTGGATGAGGTATGCGTTCGTTAGTAGCCTGCTTCGGCATGGTACTTACAAAATCGGCCACATCCATGATGTTGTCCTCAGCAATGTTGGTGCAGTCGATGGTGAAACGCAGAGAAACCTTCTTCTTCTTTTGGCCCTTGCCGCGCAACACGTTCCTCTTCACAACCTTGCTGGATGTGGCTGCAGGTGCGGCTGTCTTTGCTTTAGGCTTGGGTGCGGCCGGCTTGGCAGCTGGCTTAGCTGCAGCAGCAGGTGCAGCTGGAGCGGCAGCCGCAGCAGCTGGAGCAGCAGCCTTGGCAGCGGCCGGTGCAGCCTTCTTGGCAGCTGGAGCAGCAGCAGTGGCAGCAGCTGGTTTCTTGGCAGCCGGTGCAGCAGCCTTGGCGGGAGCGGCTGCCTTTGCGTCCTTCTTAGGGGCTGCAGCTGGAGCCTTCTTGCCGGCATCCTTAGCAGGGGCGGGCTTTGCAGCAGCTGGCTTAGCAGCAGCAGCAGGCTTGGCGGCAGCGGCCGCCTTAACGTCCTTAGCGGCTTCTGGCGCCTTCTTCACATTCTTAGCAGCTGCGGCTGCAGGCTTGGCAGCTTCAGCTTTGGGTTTCTCGACTTTGCCCTTGGCAGCGGCCGGCGCGGCCTTCTTTTCAGCTGGCTTAGCAGCACTTTTGGTATCACCCTTGTTGGTCTTCGCCTGTGCGATAAAAAAAAGAAAACAAAATTATAACACGGAACACAATAGTAATCACAAGATTATTAAACCATCACGGGCATTATAGTAAATAATTGCTTATATTATGTTCGCAAATAATTTGGCGGTGCCTATTTTGTATTTATTCTGCACATTAACTTGTTACAGCACATTATTTTCACAACTTTTGGCACTTACAGTTGGAGCCATTACGTTACTGCTCTTTGCGACGTGCGCGTTACGAAAGAAAGATGAACAGGAAAAGAACGAAACGCTAGCTGTCAAAAATATAGGTAGGCCGACGAATTCGATCCGACGGCGTTACTTTAAGTGGCGGCTTGAAACTCAGTCGCAGGTGCCATTTGACGTTGTGCAACAAACTGGCAACGCTTGTGTGTTTCGAAAGGCAGATGTACAGTGAACACATTTATTGGCTATTTTTAAATAGCATTTTGCCATATATATGTATGTATGTACATACATTTAAACATAGCTAAGTAGTTTGGTCTTTTCTCAATAAAATTGTATTTTAAAATATGGTTCTAAATATTAAATTACTTTTAAAATAATACTTTTTGTACCACTTTCACTGCTTTATTATCGCTGCCTATGCGTTGCCAATAAATATATATAATATAATTTTAATAAAAAAATCTAAATATAGTTCGCCAGTCGAGAGTGCACTGTTGTTATGTTCCCGATAGCAGTGTGTCCACATTTCTTTGGCGCCATCTATTATGAACTAACTGAATTATTCTCTCTTTTGCATTGTAAACACTTGACCATCACAGCACGTGTAAAAATCTACTTCCATTATTGTTGTTAATTTTTAGCAAACACGCAAAAATGGGGAAGCCTAAAAAAGCAAACTTGGCGCCACAGAAAAATGTCAATTTGGAAAAACAGATTACCGAAGGAAAGGTGGCAAAACACAGAAACAAGGACAAGTTTAAATTGCGCGCTGAGGAGACGCCGGTGAGTATTTATGATATGCCAAGAAATCGTCAGTCCTGATCGCCTACTTTGTTTAATGCAGAACATTGATGCTAAAAGCAGCCAAAAGATTTTGGCAGCTGCTAAACAACAACAGTTGGAACTGAATGAAGAGAACTTTCCAAGTTTAGTGGATAGGAAGATCGCTAAATTTAATTTACGTAAGTATGAGCTTCATCTCAATATTCTTAAACATGGCTTATATTTGATCGCACCCATTCTACTCTTAAAGGCGATGATGACAAAATTGCGGAAGAAGAAGTTAACGAAACGGATTTCATGCCTGATTTGGACATGGATGCTGAGGATCTTGCTGCCTTTGAGCGATTCGCACAGCCGCCTAAGGAGGGGGCGGGCAAGCGCACACTGCAATTGTCCGAAATGATTATGCAAAGGATTCAGGAGAAGGAAGCAGACATACATACGAAAGTCTCCGATGAAGGCTCACTTCAAATTGAAGAAATTGATCCCAGGGTAAAGGAGATGTACGAAGGCGTCCGGGATGTATTAAAACGCTACCGCAGCGGCAAAGTTCCAAAAGCCTTCAAAATAATACCCAGACTGAGAAACTGGGAGCAAATACTTTTCATTACGGAGCCGCATAACTGGACCGCTGCAGCAATGTTCCAAGGCACACGCATATTTTGCTCAGTGCTGTCCCAGGCGATGGCTCAGCGATTTTACAATCTGGTGCTACTTCCACGAGTGCGCGACGATCTCTGCGAATATAAGAAGCTTAACATGCACTTGTACAATGCTCTGAAACGTGCACTCTTTAAGCCGGCCGCCTTTATGAAAGGCATTATACTGCCCTTGCTGGAATCGGGTGATTGTACATTACGTGAGGCAATTATATTTGGCAGTGTAATTGCCCGGAACTCGATACCTGTGCTGCATTCGTCAGCTTGTCTCCTTAAAATTTGTGAAATGAACTACTCTGGTGCCAATTCAATATTTATACGGTACTTCCTTGACAAGCGCTACGCCTTGCCATACCGCGTCATTGATGCGGCCGTCTTTCACTTTTTAAGGTAATTAACTATATTAAATAAGAGTAGCTTGTCGTACTATATGTTAAAAATTGTTGATAGATTCGAAAACGAGAAGCGCGAATTGCCAGTTCTGTGGCATCAAAGTCTGCTTGCTTTCGCGCAGCGTTACAAAAATGATATATCATCCGAGCAAAAGGATGCTCTTCTTCAGCTTTTAAAGTAAGTACAAAGCCGTATATATTTTCAAAAACAATTCTTTCACGATATATGTATGTATATTTGTTTGCAGAAAACAATTCCATCCAAAGATTACAGCAGATATCCGCAGGGAACTGCAAGCAGCTGTATGCCGTGATATAGAAATGATGGAAACTGATGCTAATGGTGGAGTAAAAGCTAAGGACGTCACAATGTTCACAGATGCCGATGTCGAGTATTTCGGTTAAACTCAACTCCAATATTGGATTTTATGCATAGTGTATAAATTATATTGTTATATTTGTAAAAAATATAAATCACAAACTAAACCAATTAGGTGTGCGCTATTTTTGTGGTTGTTTGTTTTGAATCTGTGAGTACGGAATAGGTGAATAAATTTCCAATTTGACGATATCTGGCTTTTATATTTTATTTGGTTCTGCATATGTTGAAAAATAAAAAATACATTTATGGAATATTAAACTGTTAATAAAAAAAACAAAATAAATCATTGACATTGATTTTTGTTACATTTATTTTATACAAATTTGCTTTATTTTGATAATGACGGTATCGTTGCGGCCAACGTCACTTTTCCAAAAGTTAAGTGACTTCGCAATTATAGATTAATCTTGATTTTAATTATGCTTACATATTTCTGTAACCAAAACGTTTTTCTAAAAGTTTGTCACTTTCTTTAGTCTCTATGTATTGTTTCGTTATCTCACTCCAACATTTTTGTATCTAAGGGCATACAATCATGAACCGCCGCCTCGAATCAATTTCAAAATTTACAATAGCTACTGTGGACCTTTAAAATTAGCCAAGCTTTAAATCTTATCGTAAAATGTTTCGTTTTTAATGTGAAAATTTGTTTTGTTTTTGGTTTTTGGTTTTTTTTTACCTCAAACGGGCGAATAGAAATGTCTTTTTAAAGACCTTATTATAAACATTTGGTGTATTGCTTAGCAAAATCTTCTAAATGAAGACTGACTATGTTCGTTCTATTGCAGAATCTCGTCTCGTTAACATTAATATAAATAAGAAATAAATTAAAATAATGAATGAAACATGTCCAGACTGGCAACTGGAGAAAAGAGAAAGCTAAAAAGCGGCACACTGATCTTTTCAATGCGGTTTGGCATTCTTATAAATGTTTATAACAATATTTAAATACATGTGCGTGTATTTATGTATATTTAGAACTATATTAATAGGAATAACAAATGATATTTACTCTCCACCTAGCCCCAATCAAAGAAAGTTAAGGGTTGTGTCTTATTTTCCATTTCTGATTTTTGGGACCCTCGAAAAAAAGAATTCCTTCACCCATTGGTCCGTGTTTATAAGTATGTATATTTCGTTTTCACTGAATTTTGTTTTGACAAAGATACATATACATATGTATGTATGTTTGGCTCAAATGGTCATTGGTTCCGCAACCTAATTAACAACAATCTAGGGAATGTTTAAAACATTTACACTACATGTATATGGTAAACAAAATTAACGCTTCCGACTTATTGTTATTAGGTATATATGAATAACTGAAACTGTCGATATTCCTTCTTTTTTCCATATTTAGATCTATAAAATTAAACGATATGTATCCATTTAAAATGGCACAGTTTGTTAACATTCCTAGGGTGTGGGCTACAGTCGCTATTGTCTATAAGACATTGACAGTGCCTCCTACATCATATTGGGTATACATAAAACCCAAAAGAGACTTATAACAAAAGAATTAAAACGATCAAATTTGTGGAGATCTTTATCCATTCATGTATGAATATGTAGCTCAATAATAATGCATATAAATAATTGCTAACTATTGAGCATATACAGTAAATACAGTTAATAGAAACGCAAAGATCTAAAAATATATTTTCGAAATAAAATCCTTTTAACTTCAGTACTCTCAGTTAGTGGAGAATAGAAGAAGAATAGAAGAATTACACCTATGGGCCAAAAACTGAAACTACGGATTTTTCGATAAATATGTATCGGTAAGCTGATTTCGATTTTTAAATTAAACTAAATATTGATAACGGTGTCAACTGAATATTGAGGCCGAAGCTTATTTTGTTTCAGGTATTGGATTGGATTTTTTATTAAATTATTATTATTATTAACCGGAACATAGGTTAGTTGCAGTTCTCGGTTGAATTTCTGCCATTGGTCCTTAGTTGGATAAATCAAAACGGGAAAAACTTAAAAAAATATGTGCATCCTTATGTTCATTTCTGATACTGACTGTATATGCATATGAACTTCGGCGTCCCGAATTTCTGTATGTATGTATATAAATTGTGTTGCAGCAAAGAATACAAAGTAATTTAAAATGCATAATATAAACGATGCATGAACACCAAATACAAAATTTTAAATTAATATCTTCCAGTTGGCTGTAGGATAGCAGCCAACAAAAAAATGGCTGTCGTAGTACGATCGTACTATATCTATTAATGTATGTATGAATTGTATGCATACATTTATGTATGTATAGTAAAATTGCCAATTCGTTTCGGAATGCTTGCGTACGCCCTTATTTACGAATTTGCATTTGTTTTGTTTTTCTCTTTTTTTTTTGTTTGTTTGTTATTCTGCTATATTTAAATACGTTTTCTTTGACTTAATTTTACTATTAATTTATGCTATGTATTTTAAACAACCCATGATTAGAGTAAAAGTTGAAAATGCAATCCTGGACAAGATTTGGTTTTTGCATTTCCTATAATTCATCTAGATTTGAAGTGCTAACAGCATTGGTGTGTTGTCTTGTGTTCCATTATCCACAATCCACAATGTTGTCATCGCTGAAAGAGTGAGACTCTCGCACATACTATAAAAAACACAACCATAGTTAGGGGACTGGGTATATACCGCGTCCCATTCGCATGCTGCATTGCAGCCGGCTCTTCACCTGCAAATAGATGCGCACGAAATAAACACACATTTGTAGATGCTCAATTGCAACTTTATGGATCAAATTGATCCTTTTTGGTCCTTGTTAACACAGCTATTGAATATATATTATACATAACTCAAAAATCGCTTTTCTTAAAAACATATCATAAAGTTTTATTATTTTTATTAAAAAATATAAGACTAAAAAAGCTTGCGTACAATAAATAAATGAAAATAACTTAAGAAATGAATTCAATAACTGCTAGCAGAGCATTTATTATTTACACTCTTCATTGAGCTTTCTTTACATATTTTTAGCACTGTTCGGTCCAAAAATGTTATGTTTGAACTCATCACTGTATGACTTATGTCATTATCCCAAAACCGATCTGGCTCGTCTAATCATTGTAAATAGCAAACATAAGACTCTTTGCCTGAATCGCCTTAGAAATCAATGGCTTCTCACGTGGAATTTGTGGATAGCACATTTAATTGTTTGGGCTGAAAGCTTCGTCCTGACGTTTGAAAGACTTCTGAATTGAAGGCACTGACTTTCTTTTATCTATTATGTGTTTTCAATTTGTGGCTCATTTCTTCATGTCAGATTTGTTTGCCGACAAGAGGGTAGCTTTGAATTGATTTATTCATTTATTATTGTTTATACATTGAAATGTGGTGTTCTAACAATTCTTCTGATACGGAAATGAGCATTAAATGCAATAAATCACAGCTCTAGGCATCATATTTAAAAGAAAATCGGCGATTATCGTTAAATCAATATCAATAATAAAGGAGACTCAATGTTCCTTTAACTTCACAAGGCAGTTACAAATGACTTTCCTGCCTTAGGCTCGTTTAGAAGGAAGAGGAGAAGCAATCGTGTATGTATAGGGTTCCTCTTATTTGACCAGATAAGGTCGCAGTGTCTTTTGTTTCGCTTTCGTGAGACTCCTCCTAAATAAGAACACCAGTTTCCCCAATTTCCGCGGCCTCATCATTCTATGCCCGTTCAAATATTTGTTCGCTCTGTGGCTATAGCTCTCCATAAAGCCCACTTACCATTGAGTACGTGGACTACAACAGTCTCTGTAATTTCATTTCCTAGCATGCAGGTGTAATTTCCGGTGTCCTGTCGATTCGCATTGGCTATGTAAAGTCGACTTAACGCTCGTCCGGGCAGCATGTCCGTTTTAACACTACATATGTGTACGTAGTGGAGGCATAGGGAAGTTAAACAAGAGGTAAGCCGTGAGTTATTGAAGCAAAAACTTATATGCCACAATATATACGTATTGTGTAACACACCTTATTCCACCACGGCTAGTGTCATAGTTAAGCAAACGGGCGCCGTGGCGCCACGTGATGTACGTTGAGGGATGAGGGATTTTCGAAATGACGCACTGCAGCTCAATGGTGCTACCAGCCTTGTAATATTTTTCTGGAGTGGCGGATCCTCTTTCATCGAGAATTTCCACATGAGGAACTGTAATAAAAAAACATTTAGTTATACAAGTAAGTTAGATTATAAGAACAAGTCATAACTAATAACTACTTCACTAAGTGGTACAGAATCAATCACAAAACACTTTTATTCTTTTCATCCTAACGGACGCTTCAAATTCTGTACCCGAGTTGTATAAATTCTATATAAGGATTGTGGTACAACAAAAAAATAAATAAATAAATAATAATAAAAAAAAAGCTTGCATTCTAAAACCAAGTCTGAACGGAGTCTATACATTTTATTCTTAGGAAAAATATGAGAATGAGTTTTAATTTATGCAAAGAGCATACACGTATAGGTAGATATATGTATATCTATATTTTATTATAGAGCGATTTTTTCATACTTGTTTGTTTTTATAAATATAGATATTTTCCAATTGTGATAATACATAATACCGCTGAAACCCACTTGGGAACATTTCTCAAATGTTGTCTCTATTGTACATTTTAAATTGATTTATAATGGAATTGTTTCATCAATTTTTTTCTTAGTTTATGTAACAGTCAATGGAAAGTTTCTCTGGCTCAATAAAACATATATACTCTTGATCAGCAAGACAAGACAATTCGATTTCAGCATGTCCGTCTGTTCGTCTAACTGAATGAATGCCTGAATTTTGGAAACGGCTGAGCCGCTTGACAAATCTTGGTTCATAAATTCTTCCGACCCCTACGCGAGACGAGTTTATTTTATTTTTCGATAATCCCACAGGTTATTCTTGCATAGAAAGAAAACCCTTTAAGATCTTACATCTGCCGATAAAGTAGTTCAGAGCACTTACCAATTATAGTTAAGTATACTAATAGTACCAATGGTGGATGTGAAGATACTTGACATTCATAGGGACCCTCGTCGCGCTCATTGGCGAACTGTATCAAAAGTTTCCAATCATTTGGCTCTTCAAATTCCAAAGAATATCGCGAGTCTCCGCTATATGTGTGCTGTCCAAAGGTAATGAGCGTCAGTTCATCCCCTTTACGTCGCATCCAAGAGACCTGGTAAATGGAGAAACTTATGACTTTTGCCCCAATTTATACAAAAAGGTCTTTTGATTCTTACGGTTTTCCCCTGCAAGTCATTGACACGACAATGAAGATAAACATTCGAAGATAACTGAGTGCTTATATTGACTGTAGTGTAGGGGTCTGCAAAAAATGGGAATGGCTCGTGAGTGGTGGTCTCCGTAACCTCAAGCTCTTCATCTTCCGGTGTGTCTGTAAATGGTGATGAGAACTCTTGCCAGAAGTTTTTCGGAAATGTATCAAAAGGATCGCCAGCTCTCGGTCGCTTCACTGTAAGTGTGGGCACATTATTGAAATATTATACATGTGCTAGATAAGGATATTGGAATAATGTTGCTCACGTGTCGTCGAGGTGGATCCAATGTGGTGTAGCGCTGAGTATATAATTGCAAATATCCAAAATAATCTGGATTTCATCACTGGAATCAGAAAAAGGCGTTACATATTTGTAAATTACTACTTTCTATGAAGTTCAAACGATGCTGCTTAAGCTGTTTATTCTTTTCAACCAATTGCTTAGTTAGAGTCACTCTCTTACACACCCACACACCCACTCAAGCACTCAAGCACTCAGCCACGCACCCACACACATACACGCATAATGAAGCACTTTCTGGCCTATTTTGAAAAAGTTACCGATTTAGAAAAGAAGGCTGCGCCCATGGCAACAATGGATTTTGCCCACTTGAATTGTTCCCCTCCCCTTTTAAAGTCGGCGGAAAAAATAAACAGTTTAGAGCCGAGTAATAAAATGTAAACATTGCGTGTACATATTTAGTAAACCTAAATACATGTATGTATGTACGTACATTTATGCGTGTACTTAGGTAGGTATTTTTGTACTTAGGTATTTACACTCACCGCAGGATATGCAAGTCTGTACTTTGATGGAATGTATGCTTTTATCTAACTTGGTAAACGTAGCCTCATCGTTAGCTGAGTCGTAACACTTTTTATTTTTGTTATGGAGTATATGTATATCACTGTTATTATTATATTCTTTAGGCTTTCACTTTTCCTTTCCTTTTTAGTTGCTGTTGGTAATGTTTGTGTTCAGCATTAGGCTGATTGCCACATCGTATTTGTCAGTGGGGTATGCAAATCGGAAGCTGTACAATTTCACTATGTGTGAGAGAAGGAAAGTGTGAAAATGTGATTCTTATTAGGCTCTTCAATTCACACATGTGTATTTATCTTTTTTGCAACTACTTGACTAAGGTGACCAATAACTTGAATGTAGGTCAGGACCCTTTGTGCGCATGCCGTTCTCCTGGCGGAGAACGAGTACCAAAAAATACAAATAACAAATCTCAACAGCTGCAGCATCTCGAGGAATAGCTTTTAGCTTTCGTACATTATAATATTGCGTCTCAAGAAGTGTCAGTATAAAACGGCAAATTTATAACATGTCTTCTAGGTTTGTCATATTTTTGTTGAAACTTGGTTTGTAAATAATCACAATTAAGGTATTCTTTTTTGAATATCTTCAAGTTATTAGTTCAAATATCAAGTCATTGCTTTATTTGGAGTTTTATCAATAACAGAATGAGAACTCTTTCCCACCAAAAAATATATCACAACTGCTCACTCTTAAACGTGTATTCCCTAGATTGCCGGCCAAAAAGTCCGTTGTTGGTTTCGTCACATTTGCCACGACACTGCCTCTAATTCTGATTGCGAATTGTTCGTTGTTGCAGCCTGCAGACGCAACAGAGAGTGATGCTAAGATGTAGAACAAAGCTTTTGCTCCGATTCGTCAAAAGCGGTTGCCGCCAAGCATTTATTGTTTATTATTCGATATTCACACGCACAAATATTCCAGTGATCAAATTCTTGGCTAAATTGAAGTTAAGATTATTTAGTCCTGTCATATTATTGTTAGCAATTCAGGTTTTTTTTTATCAAAGCATCTGCACAGAAAGCTTTTTCTCTTCCATTCAGCATCTTTTGAGCATTATTTTCATAGGCGCTTGCGCAAAAAAAAATAGACGATGCAAATTAGCATTAGATATTAGCATTTCCTTTATGTGTGCGTAAGTTTGAAATGATTTATTTTGAATGAAGTTCATGGAGCGGCATCTAGTGTGCACACACTGAAACGTTATTTAGTGTGGCCATCTATGCGAAAGGATGCACAACCGAAAACCGTTTCACAAAAAATAGTTTTTTCTAATCAAATGTAAAGGAATTTCCACCAGTATATGTTACTTTTTTAAAGTCAAATGTTGTTGAAGCATTTTAACAAAGTCACACAAAATTATTAGAGCCACTGCAAAATTTTTCATAATTAGAGAACAGCTACATTTGATAATTCCATGTGGGCAATTTAAGAAAAACCGTAAGTCATGAAAGCTACAGCCGCATCGACACGCTTCCTGCGCATGTGCGGTAAATTTTGCTCTGCAATTGTGTTGGTGAGAGCCAGAAAATTGAGTCATTTTGTGTAGCTAGCCGGACTCTTATCGCTGGTGGTGCGATATGGTTTTCTAGAACGGGGGCTGCACGACGTCGTCGGCAACAAAAGTGAGAGCGCGCCCAGCAAATACGCACACAGAACATACTCATACATACATACATATGCAATGATATAAGTGGCGAGACACACAGCAACAACAAAATGAGTAGCCCTACATACACACATGTGCACATGAAGGCAAAACACTACGAATCGGGCAAAAGAACCGTTCATTTTCATTCTTTCCGTGGCATTCATTAATTCTGTTTCTCCCTGCATTGTCCGTATTGTAGGTTTTCAGCAAAAGGCCGAAAAAAACAACGTATAATATTTTCCATTTCTTACATTACGCTGGCGATTATGTTTTGAATTTTAATCATCAACTGCACAAATCCAGCTGCGGTGACATTCAGTGAATTTCTAAATTAACAATTTCGACGCCAACAACAACAATAAGAACCAACGCCGCCGCCAGCAGAGGCCCATAGAACAAAATATACGCGCAAAACAAAAACAAAGTACAACACCACCCAACAACGGCGACAAGCAGCGCAGCGGTGACAACGACGCGACAAAATCGCGCACCGGCCCAATATCGCATTCGACGAACTGAAGTCAATCAAGCCAGTATAGGGCCCGCCAGAGAAGCGCTACCACTATAAAACCAAAACATAAATTAGAAAATGGATCTAAATTCGCCGATTATTCGCGTGCTAAGCGGCATTGCCATTAGCGTTTTGGGCTTTCAAATGTGCCGGAAGGTACTGCCCTGGGTTTTCGCAAATATTCTTGGACCCAGTTTGCTAGGACCTAGGGTGGACATCCGTAAGATGGGCGAATGGGCAGGTGAGTCAGAGGTCACCATAACGCTCACACACATTCGATTTTCATTTGAACTTCGCGCCGATGATGTGATAAGTGTAATGCTTTTTGTTATTCTGCGTGTGCTTGTGTGTTGATAACATAATGAACTTTCTAAGCATGGTCTTACTCACATCCTTATCTTTGCATTGCAGTGGTTACCGGCTCAACGGACGGCATTGGGAAGGCCTACGCTCGAGAGGTATGTATGTGTAACCGAGGAAAGTCCTATAAGGAATTCCTAAAGTTATTATCATACCACCTACAAAATAGGCTTAACTTTCATAAATAAGGAGATTTGCATTAATACTACGTGCGTACCTCTGCCTGGGATATACCGAAACTAATTGGGAACCAATTCTAAGAAGTTTATAATTCACACATAGTGTGCATGTAGGAGCGGTTTTCCAACTAGGATATGGGAGCGATCGTTGTCCTAGTTTTAGCATAACTATAAATTATTATTTCTTTTGTGCAGTTCCGCTTTAGTAAAAGAATTAATTCATGAATAGCATCTTCACTAATAACACAGAACCAATTATATTATCAGAGATATTTAAATATACATACATACAAGTATATCTATATAATAGTATCTCAAAGTCTTCCAACTGTAACCGAAACATGTCCTCTGCATAGCTCCAAATTTATTTCGCTTTGCTCATAGTGAAGACGATAGACCCCAGCTTGTTAGTTTCCTTTTTATTTTTTAATTATTACCAGATATAATACATTAGCGACAGATATAAAATTACAATTAGCAAGGGGTTATCGAATTGCCTTGTACACTGAGCATGACTTACACATTGCCTCACATAGAAGAAAATGCATTCTCACTTTGTGACAGAATAATAGTTTATGTGTAGTATAGATGTAATACTGTAAAAAAAAGAACTTGGTGGCAAAACTATTGCTGAATCGTAAGCTTTGGTCAGTTACAGAGTCCACTCGTTTTTGCTATTGGATAACTCAGCAAAATTTCGTTTACATTTCATTTATTTATTTTAACCATAGAGAAAAAAGTGTTTACTTTGGCAAATTGCAATTCGAAGCGCTTTAGAACGAAACATTTCATACTGAACGCTTTTACACTAAAACGTGCTACTCAATTAGCAACTTTTACATGAAGCCCAACCGCAAACTCTGAGGGACTCGCATGTACTTGGGGCTTAAGTCCAAAGTTAATCATTGCATCGTCGATTTACATCAATAGCCTCGCTTGCTTTCTTTTGCCAAACGGCTTGAAATTAGCATTCGATGCGGCTCTTTTGCTTTGCCGTTAACGAGTAACGCACAATACTCGTGTTTATGGTAATTCTATTTCTATGCACGTTCCGCATTTATTCAATTACGACGCACGTCGTTAAAGTGTGTGCATTGTTTGGATATTGTAAGTGAATATGTTTGCTTAGAAATCGACGGAGTTCAATATTTAATTACGCCTATTTACAATAGAAATACACATATCAGTGAATTCACAATTCAGCTATACTGGAATTCTATTAAATTCAGTCTCTTTTTCATTCCTAATATATTTACAGCTAGCGCGCAAAGGACTCAAACTGGTGTTGATTAGTCGTTCGCTGGACAAACTCAATGCCGTTGCCAAAGAAATAGGTAATGATTAATTTTTAAATACGCGAGTTGTGCCAGTCTAGTCTAATTGAACCGATTTTGAATATACATACTATACATATGTATGTATATGCACTCGGACCCGCATAATTACATATGTATATGTAAATAATTTGTAGCTATCAACTAAAGCGTGGCATACTTCTAGGAGAAAACTTTGGTGTCGAAGTTCGGGTCGTCGATGTGGACTTTACACGAGGCGTAGAGATCTATGAGAAAATACGCAAAAGCACCGAAGGTCTTGATGTGGGCGTCCTGGTTAACAATGTGGGAATCAGTTACAGCCACCCCGAGTACTTCTTAGAGTGTTGCAATTCGGATCCAAAATTCCTACGCGATATCATTGCTGCCAATATACATTCCGTGACGCACATGTGCTCATTGATTATGCCGCGCATGGTTGTCAAACGCAAGGGTGTCGTAATCAATCTCTCGTCCACGGCAGGTGTAATTCCGAGTCCCCTGCTAAGTGTATACAGTGCAACAAAGGTAAGAATGTTCGCTTTATGCTATCTACCATGTCTCACTAATATTTTCCTTCACAGGCATTTGTAAACAAGTTCAGTGATGACCTGCAGACTGAATACAAGGACCATGGACTCATTATTCAGAGCGTACAGCCTGGTTTCGTGGCTACAAACATGTCCAAGATACGTAAACCGAACATTTTTGCGCCCTCGCCCGAAACGTATGTAAAATCTGCACTCTCCACACTTGGCATCGCTACACAGACCGCAGGCTATCTACCACACGCATTGCTTCAACTCGTCATACATTTTACAGAGGCTGTGCTGGGCGATCAAATTGCTAGAAATGTGGTCCTGAAAAATATTTTGGGTACACGCAGTCGTGCACTTCGACGCCTAGCCAAGGAGCAATAATATTTTTCGCACAAGTAAAAGCCAGCAGACTTGGCATCTCCTGGAGCTGCTGCTGATTGTGTGGCACTGCCAGCAGCTGCAGCAGATGCGGCGACGGCGACTCCTATTGGAATTCGTTCACGGTTGGGGGTTGGGCAAAGAGCGAAACTAAAAAAAACAAACATGAATAATACACAAAACTAATTGTGTCCACTAAAATTGTAACATTTTCACCAAAGATGTTTCATCAAGTGTGTCATATACATTCTACCATACCAAAAATATTTCCAAATACAACAACCGAAGAAATGTTTGCTTTGGAATAAAATAAATAATAAAAACATCAATTAAACGGATTTTTTATTGGCGCCATTATGATAGGTAGTCTGGCAACGCTGTTATTTGTTGTTCTTGAAGGGAGTTGTAATCGATAGCATTGTCGATAAAATTGACAGAAGCTTGATAAGGTGGGCAAGCAAGCGGCAGCTTCGCGCATATGCGTAAATTGTTTTATATTTTTTGAAAGCCAAGAAACTTAACATTTGTGTATGAACGTGGAGTGCAGTCGGATGTAATTAAACGCGAGTGGAATAAAATATCAATCAAAAATAATTGCGGGCGAATTGGTCATAACTATTTGCGCAGCAATCAAAATTTTGCGCTGTTTTGGTTTATTAAGTCAGTCTCAGCCGCAGTTGGAAGAGGAAGAACATAGGAAGAAAACATCATCGGTCGGTCGGTCGGCTGCTCTGTTATCTCTTATCGCGGTGACCAGTTGTTCAGATGCTTGGGACACTGATACCCGCCCCTTATGCGTTTATCAACTTGTTGCGGGTGCGGGCTTCGTTGCAATATTGATACTTCAATAAATATAATTGACATCAACTGATGTCATTGGGTAACATATTCATAATTCCTTCATCTTTATTGGGCCCCAATTCAAGTGTCGCAGTTGAATAGAAGCACAGCTGGCGGGCGCAAAGCAGGGGTGGCGGAAGTGTTATTGACGCAATTGTTGAAAACTATTTTTAATAGTTTGTGGTTGGTCACCCCGACGGCAAAGGGCCACGGCTACGATTATGGGGACGGTAACGGGTGGTTAAGACTGAAACAACAAGTCACAACGAGCGTTAAAGCAAAGGCGTAGAAAATAAAGCTGGGTAGGCAAAGAAGATGTCAAAAATGTTTAAAACTCATAAAACATTTACAAACGAACATAAAAAACGAACAAGTACACAGCAACTGAGCGTAAAGGTGAAAGTGAATAACAGAACCAATTTGGCGCCGCCATCGCAGCCGCTGTTATAGTCGGACGGGCGACAGACAGCGAACGACAGTCTGGAACGTGGCCAGCGTTCCCACCATCATTAACCACTACGACTATCGGAAACTCAAGGGCGAGGGCGCTTTCAACGGTCAAGTCGCACACAATGGAGCGCCGTCTTCCGTTGTTTCCAATTGAGCCCGAGCCGCCCACAACACCCACACAGCGGCTGACACTGTTGGCAACCCGGTGAGTAAACGTGAACCAATTCGTATGCTTATGCATCGCTCCCACGCACATTTATGTACATACATTCTTATGTATATGAATCTATATAAGTATCTCAAATGTCTATGTATGTATATTGTGTGTCCTTTGCGTGTGATTTGGCTGTGAACGTGCGTGGCTTGGCTTTGATTCAGATATGTCCACCTCTGAACATGTCAGAATCGTCACTCACGACTATTCACAATCACCCACCTGTGTGGTCTGTTGTATCATAATTATCGTCATCATCATCATATTTATTAATAGTTCAATATGTCTCCTATAACCCATTATATACAGCATGCTACGTGCACTGCAATTAAACTGGAACATTATCATTTCCGGCGTCACTTTAACGCTCCTGGCCGTCATTTGGTACTATCCGACGTTCTTCTTATTTTTTGCGTTCGTCATCTACTCGCTAGTGCTCGTGTTTGCGGGTAAGTGATGGGTGGGCGGACACTATAAGGGCGTACAATTCCGGAAGCTATTATTGAAAAGTTGCTTTAAAAGGTTATTTCAAAAAATATTTATTCGTTACTAAAAACGTCTTTATATGCAATCCTATATTGATTTTGGAACAAAAATTTGCGTTTTCAAAGAAGATTCCATTTTACATTTTTTTTTTTTAATATTTGATTTCAAAAGTTATGTTTTTAACCAGTCAGTTTTAACAGGGGCGTCAATCGCTTGATACAATTTTGAACAGCCCTGAATTATTTTTCCATGCTTTATGAATGTTCAATAGTTCGATATATAAACCACTTTGTTAATAGTCTTTCAGTCTTTCTTCAGATAAACAAAGTTATTAATGTGTTGTCTCCAAGAAAGCAGTCATTTGATATACAGGTCCGATCCAATTTCATTTCGCGTAATTCCATTCCCTTTTATCGGTTAAGGGAGAAGGTTTCAAAGGCTACCCTGTATATATATTTGTTGAGAATTGTTGACTTATTTGAACAGTCATTTTAACATACATACAAACATATATCGAGCATAATATAATACGCATCTGTACTTTGTATCCAAATAAAAAAAAGAAGTGATTACCGTGATATGCCGAGGCATCTATTTGTTATCAACGCAGTTAGCAGCGAATTGGGAACTTCCGCAATATTTAATTAAAATATGAGATATCTTTTAATTTTATAACGGTCGAATGAAGCTTATTGCCATCTTTTATCATTCCACACATACAGCTATCGCCGGCACCGTCTATATACACTACATATTCACAACAAACGAGCCAACAAAACCAAGCCGAGCGCCCTCGAAGCTACTATATAATGCCACAAAGTATGTATGGGATTTTTACAGAGTCTCAGTAAAGAATCCATTAATTTAAATTAAATTAATTTAACATCCATTCTCTATTCGTTTCGTAGAAGCAACATCTTTGATCTGCCAAAACCCATTAAGAATCCATCGAATTTACCTCTGATATTTGGCAAAACAGTCGATCTGCAGCTGCAGCAGATCATTGAGTATGTCCTGCGTGATTTTATGCTCCCTTGGCTAGGGTACGTTGGATGTGAGAGTCAAGCTGCTTAAAATATGCTAACGTGTTCCTTAAACTTCTAGCTATGTGGTGACCAAACCGAAGTTGATTAATGATGTAATACGCGAAGATCTGTGGAATGCTGTACAAAAGATACACGAACGCGCCACCAAAATTGATGCAGCCAAAATTATAGCCGTAGACATGGTGAATCGCGTGACAGTCCATCTAGAGAAAATACGTATAGCTGAGGCTCGAGCGTAAGTTTTGCAAAATATCGAAGAATGCTCATTTTCTGATTGCATGAATCACTCCGTGACTGCAGCGCTGAAACGTCTAGTGCCCCCGTATTTTCCACCAACTCGTATCTGGTTGATGAGGAGCAGGAAATGGAGTTTTTGCGCAAGCTATGTGAGATAATGGTAATACTATTGCTTCCGCGAGGCTACTCTTTACCACCCTTGAAAGTGTTGCTAAGCGAAATCTTATCTTTCAAGAGTAAGTCTATTCCCTTGACCAACCTTGGAGAGAAAAAAGGACTTGAACTGATCTTTTCTCATTTTCAGTATTGTTTCCCATGATTAAAATGCTCACGGCACCGGACTACATCAATCAAAAGATTGTTCAGAACATTGAGACGCGTCTGGCAGCGGCAGCCATAAGTAAGCGGAGCTACGAATATGCCGCCAGTTTCGAGGAGTTCCTGAAGATAATCAATAGTTCGGGCAATTTGGAGGAACTCTCACTTATACGCAAAAGCATTGTGAACGACTTGATGCATGCCACAACAATGCAGAATCTACAACGTGCCAAGGGCCTGGATCCAGACGCTGACGATCATTCGCTTTCCAAGGCAGAGCTGACGGCAGCGGTGCGCTTAAAACGTTATGTCCAGCAATTAACGCTGGCGAAGGCGCAGTGCGAGAAGAATTTGGCCAAGTTCGGTTGGAATGGCAACTACTCCAGTGATATTGTGAGTCTGCTAATTAACAATGCTTGTCCGAATCAATTATTTATAATCTCTTCTATGGTATAGGATCTGACGTTGGTGGAGATATTGAATACGGCTGTGGGTCGTCGTTATCTGACGCTATTTTTGGAGCCGCTTAAGGCCAGTGCTTTAATTGGTTTCTATATGGCCGTAGAGGAAATCAAGCATGCCCACAAATCTGCCACACATCAGCTGGGCACTGAGATCTTTTATACATATATACGCGTCCCGAAGCCGGAAATACAAATTGACAAGCATGAGCGAAAACTAATAGAGACATTCTTGCTTGGCGATGCTGGTCCAGACATATTCTACGATATACAACGCAACATATTGCGTGCCCTGGAAGAGAAATACTATCCGCCATTTGTGCTGAGCGAGCAGTATCGCCAGCTAAAGGAAGCGCTGGATTCGAACGAATTTAACGATCCCACCTTGATCATGTGTGACTCACTTACCGATGGTCAGGATGACGAGCGAACCACCGCTGGAGATGGCGTCAATGGTGCTGGGGGTGCGACTGCAGCTATTGATGTGGCGGCACATACATCGTATGCCCGGAAAAAGCTCGAACAAATACAGGAGCGCATCGATAAGAAGAATCAGGCATTGGATGCTCTCAAATATTCAGTCAAGCCAGAGTCCAAGGTGCTGCAAATACTCGAAAAGGAAATGGAGTGGCTTAAGAGCGAGAAGCGACAAACTGAGGCCCATTTGCGACGCACTGATGCATGGACAGAGCATCTGGGCAAGTGGAAGGCAACCATACAGAGTGTGGAGGTGAGTCCATTGAGACTCTTCTTAATGCCGGTCTTAAAACTTTACTCTCTTCCTTAACTGCCTCAGGTGTCCGATGAAAAGGAATCTCTACAGTTTATGATATTAGTTCATGTTGATGAGGACATCAACGCTCCTCCAATGCTGTCCGCAAAAAACGGCGGCAGTAACGGCAAGCCCGAGAAACGTCCTTCGGGTATTTCTAGCGGATGGGTCGTAATGCGATCGCTCAATCAAGTTCATGTAAGTCCAGCAATCTTAATCATATTTTACAATAAACCGAACTCTGAGTGTATGTTATGGAGTAATAGAATGGAGTGTGTAATCTATACATACATGTTTATATAAACATTACGTTGAATTGGTGATGTATATATGAACTTTTTTTTTTGCAGGACTTGCATCGAAAGCTGCGGCATGTGAGCTCAAATTTGAAATCCCTAGATTTGCCCACAAATTTTAAATTATTCTTTTTAAAAACGGATCGACACGCCCTCGAAAAAGCTAAAGGACAAATACAGAAATTTTTGAATGTAAGATTTGCAATACTAATAAATATACTTGTATTGCCATCTATTAATTGCACTGCATATTTACAGTTTATACTGGAAGATGATCATCTAAATGGAAGCGAGGCTATTTACACGTTTCTTAGCCCCAGTTCCGATCATTTAAAAGCCACGCTACCCTCACCCAAAAAGTCAAAATTCTCACTCTCCACCCTTTTCAAGAGCGATGCGACCAAAGCGCACGAGACAAACAAGGCCACTGATCCGTTTTGGGGCCTGCAGCGGGACGACGATGATATTTCCACCTACTTGGATGGCGAAACGGGCAACGATGCCAAGCTGTTGGCGGATTTGGATAGCAAGGACTCTATAGCGGAGCCTCTGTATGCACTAATGGGTGAAATATTTGATATGGGCGGCGTCTTTAAGTGGCTGCGCAAGAGTATTATATCATTTGTGCAAATCACATATGGACGCACGATAAATAGGTGTGTCTTGCATACTCTTTCTCTTCCTTTACAAATCATTAACTGATTACTCTTTAAACGTAGACAAATACGCGAGTCCGTGGCATATTTGTTTGAGGAGTCCATGTTGCACAATTATTTCTCGGCCCTGCTCAAGTCATTCTGGCCCGGTGGCGTTCTGGCCTCTGCCTATCCGATACGCTCGGATGACATGAAAGAGATGACCACCAATGCAGCCAAGGCACTACTCATGGATCATATACCCGAAGTTTTGTGTAATCTGGTCGGTGCTCAAGCAGCCAAACGTGGCGTTCTAAAGGTTTTTGATGCGCTGCAAAATCCCACATACAATAAGCAATTGTTTTATGTAAGTAAACGCCAGCTTTAATAGGTCGTAAAGGACTTTGTCCACCAAAATGCTGCAGCTGTAAGTAACAACAGAAGCCGGCGTAGTAGCATAAGTGAACGAACCGATGTAGACATGTCCGTCTGTATGGATACTGAGAGCTTTCGAATCGTAACTGTTTTCCAGTTGAAAAGTCATATCAGCTTTCTTAGGAATGATGGGTAAAACAAAGTTTTTTTTCGCTAAAAATCGAGTATAGGGTATTCAATAATTTTCAAATCTGATTCAAAGTGTACAGTTTAGGCAATTATTTACTTATGATCTTTATAATTTGTTTAAAACTACATTTGTAATGATTTGGTAGGTGGAAAGATATTTGAGCGGTTAACTGCATTTTAATTTGTTCTCATATATCGATTTGTTGTTTGCAGGAGCTGCTTGAGATCCTGATGATTGAATTTTTCCCTGAAATACGTCAACTGAAGGTGTCCCATGCGAATGGTACGAAGCTAACAACAGCGTCGGCGGGCGTGGCAGCCGTCTCAGCGGCAGCAGCCATTGCAGCAGCAGCAGCGCTGCCATTAAACACACACAATAACCAGGCCACTGCGGGCACCAGCAGCAGTCTCACTCAGGCACAGTCGCTCCACCGGGAGCGTGCACATGCCCACGACCAACATTACCACCAATCGCAGCAATCGCAATATCATCAAGGACAGCAGCCACCCCACCAGCAACATCAGCAGCAACAGCATCATCAGCACCACCAGTTACCACAGCAGGCAATGTACTCAACCACACATGGAAGTGGAACGAAGTAGAATTTCAGCTGAATTATAAGAATTAGGACATTTGTGATGTTTTCTCGGCGTTACACAAGACCAACCTCAAAAATGTCTAGCTTTGTTGTTGATTATAGATACTAATGCTCTCTATTATGCTGTTAACCCATCCACCTTTTTTTTGTTTATTTATTTATTAGCAAATTTTAGTACTTTTGTTTCTATGTCTGGCACATAATCGTACATTTTAAACTAAAATTATTTGGCTCTTTAACCAACAACAACAACCTGTACCAAATCAATTTGTGTGCTATTTTTATCATAACTATGTATGTATGTCTATGGTTCTATATCTTTTAAAACAAAAACACGCCACAATTTGTTGTAAGTTTAGGCAAAGGGGCTTAAAAAACAGCTGATGTGTTGTATATTTAATTTATGTTTGTTAAAAGTGTTGCTTTAGCCAAATTTGTTTGTTGTGTAAGTATTCAGTATTAAGCGATATACCAAATTACTGTTGATATTGTATATTCAGTATATATGTACACGTTTATGATATTTGAATCACATTCGACTCGGTTATATTTATTTTTATATGAGCTGTTCATGTATTAGCGTGTATTGTTTAAAACTCGAGCGTATTACTACATTAAGACATTCCCCTTTTACACACACCCCGCCAGAAGAACGCAGAGTCTATCTGTGTTGTAAACAATTTAATAAAGAAAAATATGCAAGCATAGTTTTTTGGTTGATATGTTTGGCTAATTTAACCCAAACCTGTATCTCGAGTGACTTATTGTGATCTTAGAAAGTAAAAGTTACCCATTTGTTGGTAGTAATTCAGTTAAGAGCTAAGCACGCATACATAAGTACATAGTTATTGCGCATATGTCTCTGTATGTACTCATATGTGTAATTTTGATGGCCGGAACCACGGTCAGCCCATGGAGCCCATATAGTACTAGTTGGTAATATCTCACACACACACTCACACACCCAAAATAAATATGACAAAATGTGTTACAAAATATTTAGAAATCATAGAACTTTTTGCGCTTACAAACATTTTATGTAAAGGAACAAAAATACAAAGGCAAATAAAGATGGCTATTTATGTACTCGTTTACATTTCAAATTTCTACTTCATTTGTATTTGAAATATAATAAAATATTGGTGATTAATACGTAAGTTAATATGAGTGAACACAGCGGCTTCATAAGAAAATATTGTATATTCTGTGAAAGAATATTATGATTAATATTTGGAACATTTTAAAGCAATACCTAAATGTATTGTGTTGTATTAACAATGAATATGAAATGGAACTAATCTTTTTAGGGATTTCGAAAAATATTGTACAATTAAATAACATTTTAAAAGACAGTCATGTTGTCAATCAGCTTTTTAATGTCAATTAACTGCATGTCAACAACTGCAATGATCGGATTCTGGCGCATAACTGTTGGTTTCTTTACAAGCAGCTTAACTGCAAAATGTTTTAACAGAAAGCGCCATTTAAGCTCCGCTTTTTGGCGCTGTGTTAGCTGCTCGAAGGCATCCGCACTGAGTCCCAAGATTTGCTCAGCTACACCACTAGTGAGACGCGTTTCGATTAGTGTACCCGTATGATCGGTCAGTTGAATGTTGATGTTAAAGAACTTCTCGTAGTGCACTCCGCTCTGATCCATAGAGAACTCTAGCTGGCAGTTCTCGTTGCTGCAGTAAATATTATCTTGGGGTATGTGTCGTTGGCACACCTTGCTGCAAGTTCAATGTGTTAATTAGATTTAAAAGGCACCTTCAGTCGGGCTTACCCACCATCTTTTGCTAATATTCGCCACATAACCATCGAGATCGAACTTCGTAATCATCGCATATAGCACTGCGGTAAATTTATCAATGGCCGCATCGCATAAATCACCCTCGGCTCGTGCATAAATCTGTTTTACTGTCATCTGTGTACGTATCTCCTCCGCTATGGATGGGTAGAATACTTAATATGTAAATATATTTGGGGTGGAAGTCCTGTTTACCTGCTGGCAACGTGTCAAAGCCAACCTGTGCAAACACATCGAAACTACGTGCCGGCATAGTGGCCGCAAATTCCACCAATGCCTGGCATTGCACGCCCTGTGGATCCTCGTAGATGATCGTGCATGTGGCCAGCCCCAGCACCGGACTACGAAAGTATTCAGAGTAGGAGACGCGCACGTCTATCAGATGCAATACAGTTTTGCGTGGCTGCCAGCAACGCTTGGCGTGTTGTATCCATTCTGTATGCCATAAAGTCAAGACCAGGCCATCTGGCCAACTTTGGTCAAACACCACCAGCTCGAGGCAGTGCACCAAATCGTTACCGTCGCGCGCATTTTTTCGCTTCAGCTCGCGCACAGGTCGCAGCGAGCCAACAACCACAAGCAGGTCCACATATTGGACCGCAGCCGCAGCAGATCGCTGCTCTTGGACCCCAGTGCGCACATCGGCCAATTTAAGTGCTGCCTGCATAGGTTTGTGCGGCAGGTGGCGTAGCTGCAGCAGCTCCTGATATTTGGCCATATCTTCCAGATTGTGCTGCGCCACAAATCCTTGACCCTCATTCACAACCAGCACGCAGGGCAGTGTCGGTTTTGGCTGATAGCGCAAGGTCACGTTTCCATTTGATTGCATCACTTTGGCGCCCACCACATCCACCACATCGCCAATGTGTAATTGGGAGTTGTATTCCTCTATCATTGTTCTCGAGCCCCAGCATTTGCAATTCGTAATGTGATGTTTGGAGTCGCGCAGCGTAAAACAAATCACACCGCGAAATTCGTTGTTCTGCTTATCCAGAAATATGTTTGGCTCTGATTTGCAAATAATTAGTGCGATTGTGGAAAATGAGCTCATATTGGGTTGCATGGCAGCCAAATGCAATGGCCCAATCCTTTTATATCCAGGCATTGTTCGCTTTTTGTGGTCATAAGTTATTTAACAAATGCGGCTCAAATAGCGCGGTCCTGCAAAATCCGTTAATCGAATGTCTGGTTCAGTTCACGTTAAAGGGTGTTGCCAGCTGCCAGAAAAAGTGCACTCAATGGCGCCCAAAAATTTAGTTCAAATGTTACAGCATGCGATTAATATAATGGTAATAAAAACATTTTAAAACAGGTTTAAATTATATTATTATAAAAGGTCACCATCAAAATCAAGAAAATGAGGCATTTCTTAATTATTTATTATTTATAAATTATTTTGCAGCACATAACATCTTATCAGTAAATGTTTAAGAAAATCTTGTTAAGTTCCTAAAATGTCGCCTACCCCTTTATGTTTACTTTTTAATGCTCATTTATTTGAAATGGAAACTCAAAATTCTATTATCGGCAGGCATCGTTATTCCAATTAGTTATGGCGTCGCTTTATTTGTGAAGGTTGGTCTTCTTTAAGATAGTCGTTCGAATAGGAATGCGTGCTTTTTTTAAGGTGCGATTATACATAGAATACTTGTTTGTAAAGCCCGACTGGTTTTATATATATTTGTTTGGGTGAAAAGTGCCAAATGAAAATTTGAGTTAGTCGTAGATATATACTACAACACAAACATTATACCTAATGCGAACATAAAATACAATTGCACACAAATTAGAGAGAGGGATGTCAACGGCCATCTCTTCATAAAGATATATATACATTTACATATATAGATTACCACCAGATCGTAAATATTAAACGTAACACCGATTACTGTATCACACTCAACGACGAATTAGGTACACGGCCCGTTGGAAAAGATGTATAGCAATCAGTTTATTTACTCTAAGGAGCGTCGTCGTTTCGGCCGACAATGTCTGTTCCGGGACCGCAACGAGCTTATGGTGAGTGTGCACCCGAGCGGGAGATTGCGGATGAAGTACATTATGCGCAATCCGACGGATCGAGGGACACAGTTGACCACATCAATGGCACTGTCCATCATGGAGACAATGAATAAGTCGTATGAACATCGTACCGTTAGCCACATGGAAGGGGGCTGGCCCAAGGAGGTCAACGTTCATGATGAGGAGCAAACGCTGCGCCATCGCAAGAAGGTGGAGCGCGAGGATAGCTGGGGTGATCAGGTGACGCGATTGGTAACCAAACTAATGGATGTTGTGGACGAGAACAATGCCCTGAATATCTATCAGGACTTTTTCTCCGAAATGCCCGCCGATATGGGAAATGATATTCGCATGCGTTGGGAGTCGCGCAACATAAATGTGTTTCACGACATCTGGAACCCGGTGCGTCCCATAGCAATGATCGACTGGATGCCCAACAATCGGCGGCAGTTCATCACACTGTTCGTCAACAAATACGGAATGAGGAAAGATTCTATCCGCATGGTGTCCGATGAATCTGGGTATGGCAGCGAAAATGCTTTCTATGTTTGGGACTTTAAGAATCCACTAAAGCCGAAACTGTTCTATGACTGTCCGGAGGTAATTTATCGCGCTAAGATCTGCCCGAAGGACGAGAACAATCTCGCCGGCGGACTGAGTTCGGGCAAGGTGTGCATGTGGCATACATTTAAGGCGGGCAATCCGTTGCGCACTTGCCCCTTGGAGGCGGCCCATAGAGAGGCCACATCTGCGCTCTGTTGGGTGCATTCCAAGTCCAACACTGAGTTCTATTCGGGTTCGCTGGACGGTTCCATTAAATACTGGGATACACGCGATCTAAAGATGCCCGTACATGAGCTAATGCTGGAGCCGGATGCACAGGAGATCCAAAATCGGCAGAATTCGCACGGTGCCTTGGTGCTGGAGTTCGAATATACGATCCCGGTGCGATTTATAATTGGCAGCGACATGGGCACCATATTTGTGGGAAATCGCAAGGGCATGACCGCTCCCGAAACGCTGTTGGCCCAATATAAGATGTTCTCGGGACCCGTACGTACCATAACTCGAAATCCGTTCTTTGTGAAGAACTTCATAATCACCGGTGATTGGCGCGCACGCATCTGGTCCGAGGAAAGTAAGGATAGCCCCAGCACCATGTATGTGAAGAGCAAGGGCCAGATTTTGTGTGGTGCCTGGAGCTCTGCCCGCTGCTCTATGTTTGTCACGGGCAATAACAAGGGGCAACTAGACTTCTGGGATCTGCTGCTGCATCATCGCAAGCCCATTTGGAGCGTAAAGTTCAAATCGGCGATCACCGATGCTATCTTTCGAGCCGAAGGCGATCTATTGGCAGTAGCCTTCGAAAACGGGGACACCCGATTGCTTCAAATCGATGACGTGATGAAGCAGTCCACTGGCAAGGAGAAGGCGCTCATTGCTGCCGTAGGTGTCAACGTCGCAGACCATTTAAGGTTTTGATTAACAACTTCATCGTGTTTTTGTTTTTTCTTCCGTTTATTCCAGATGTTCGAACGTGAAATATCTCGCTGCAAAGTACTGGAAGCTCGAGTTGAGGAAATGAGACTGAAACGACGAACCCAGTTGCTGGCTGAGGAGGAGCGTTTGCGTAGAGAAGAGATCGCCGATCCCGATCTGGAGCTCGATGCGGACAATCCAGAGCATTTTGTTCAACTAATCGAGGCTGATGAGCAGTTTCGTAACGCGATCTCCGAATTTCAGGAAAGTGTGTTGGCCGTCGAGAAGAAACGTTCCAATCGCAAGGCCAGGAATGATATCACCGATTTCGAGCAGTGGTATTTGGATCATCTCGAAGTACCACTCGACGACATGGACGATGAACCTATACTAGGCTCTGTCCGTAACAGCCTTAGGGCCTCCCAGCCGAATACGAAAGTATAACAAGCATCCTTGTCATTATTATTATAATTATTAGTATTTATTTATTAAGTAACAACCATTCACTCAACTACAACGCATTTCCTAAATTCTTGATGTATACGAACATATGCACTTTTTAATCAACATGCGTACATACAAACATATTTATAAGTATATTGTAAGGGGAGGGGGGAAAAAAATAAAAAAAAACAAATTAATTTAGACTTTAACTAGTAGCTTGTTTTTGTATTTTAAGTAGAGTCGGTTTTGGTTTGTTTTTCGTTAATAAACTACGTACATACTTGTATATGTATGTATGTATGATGTATGGTCATTGCAACTACAATTTATCACTATCGACACCAGCGTCAAGGAAGTCGTCGATCAACCGCATCGCCTTCTTCGGAATCATTCGTCCGAGCTTCTCCACGGCCACAAAGTGACGGGGCACGGCCGCCTCCTCTAGACCCTTTCGCTGAGCCTCAATGATGGAGCTGGCTGCATCCTTGGGGGAAATAAGCTTCATCAGTTTGGGGAAGCGATAATGCGGGTTCTTGCACAGTCCAGTGTCGATCATATAGGGGAAGATGGTGGTCAACTTGATCTAAAAAAGATAAAGCCATATACGTTTTCTAAATCATTTTAATGGTTAATTACAAGTACTTTTAATAATTGATGAATTTTTTCAGTTGCAGAACCTAATCGGGCAAGTATGTGGTCAAGCATTTTGTAGTTCTGTTCTCAATATTAATGAGATTCTTTCGCTTTTCATAGCTCAAAGGAATTACTTTTTTGATTTTTTAGATAAAGAAATCGGTTGCGATTAAAAGTGTTTTCCAATTCGTACAAAATAGGAAACTTTTGCGAATTTGTTTCAGGAATTCATTTAATGAAGAATTTTTACCTCGCACGTAAAAACCATTTCGACCAATTCGATCGAGAAAGGGGAGCAAAGCATTTCTTTTTAGTAGACATTAAAATATTTGCTTAAGAATCCATTTTTCTTTGTTATAAAAGTTGATTTAAAGAAATAGGTAACTTGCTTTTGGCAAAGTTTGTCCTTTCAGGTGTTAGCCTTTAGAAAACAAACGTTTACTTACATTGTTCTGAGGATTTTTGTGTCGCAGCTCCTCGGCCAAGGCGGCCATGTAACCACGCACAGCAAACTTAGTGCCACAATAGGGCACCAAGTTCTTGACGCCGAAAAGACCAGCGCAGGAGGAGAGCGCCACAATGCTACCCTCATTGCGCTCAATCATGTCAGGGAGGAAGATTTGGTTGATCTGCAATATAAGGATAACTTATTAGCACTTATAGCAATAATATTATAAATATATATATATATGTATATGTATGTATGTCGGCGATTAAGTAGAGTACCAGCTATTTCATAGCTATTTTATAACGTTTGCTCTTTCTCCATGTAACGGTTTCAACCCGTTCCTTTTGCAAAGCAGAAGCGGGACGGCATCAGAGTTGACGTCGAGTGTGGCTCCGTTTACAATGCATGTGAGTGAAAACGCTAAAATATACTATGGCAGCAAATATGCAGCCAGTGCTGCCATTTTAGCTTTTTCCCCGCTAGATCTTACTTTTTTTAAATGCCAGAGAAAAATTGGAAAATATTGGTTTTACAAAAATGTATTTAGCCGTTTTTCAGCTTTACTTTGTTTTTCACCATAAATTTCAAGTATTGGATAAGTCGAAATATAAATATATAAAGACATTTAGCTTTTTACTTGTCAGAATACCGAAAATACGCTAAAATGTTGGCCTAAAGACCTCTCGTACAGCGATTCCTGCGGAAACAAACGGTTTCAACAAATGCTCCTTCAAATATACATTGCCTCAAAAATGGTTGCGAGCATCCTGACAAACACAATGAGCTTAGATAAACTCATAAATCAACTACAGAATTAAAGATTGTTAAGTTTAATTTGAATTTAATGTGAATTTTTTTCAATCAGAATCTCATATTATTATAAATTATGAAATAGGAATTTAGAATTAATTTGAAAACATTAAAATAGAAATTTCCATAATTTTAACCAAGAAAATAGTGTTTTTAAAACCAGCTTTCTTAAAGCTTATTTTGCTTAGGAATTAGCTAATTTTCAGCTTTATTTTTTGACAATCTAGATATTTTTGTTTAAAACAATTTGGCAGCATTGTATGCAGCTGACAATTAGTATTGCGTTGTCCACTAAGCTAAAATTAGTGATTCTGGAAAAGATCGGGCTGAGGGCGAAACTCCGACATACATAGAGTTTTTTGGAATCGATTAAAAAAGGTAATAATACATTGGGGAGAGGCATTGTCGGATAGAACTCTACATTAAAATTGTTGGGTTTTTTTGTTTGTAGGAAAATAGGTAAGTTAAAAAGTAAATTACTGAAGTAAGTTAGTAACTAAATAAGTAAGTTGAGCAGTTTTTGAAGGAACGACCTTTGTTTCAAACTTACCCAGAAATGTGACAGCACATTGATGTCGTAGAGGATGCGAATCTCGCCCTCTGTATGCTCGAGGAGGGGATGGCAGGGCATAATGCCGGCATTGTTCACCACAATGCTGATGAAGCCATGCTCCTTCTTAACCTTGTTGGCCAGCTCGATAATCTCCTCCCGGTTGGTCACATTCACGGTGTAGGCGAACGCGGTGCCGCCCTTCTGTTTGATTTCTTTCACAGTTTGCTCGTTCGTTTTCTCGTTGACGTCCCAGCAGATGAGCTTGGCGCCCAGGGCTGCATACTGCAGAGCCATTTCCTTGCCCATGCCATGTCCAGTGCCCGTGATCAGGACAGTCTTGCCCTGGACATTTTCCTCCTCCTGGGTCACAAACAGCTTCACAATTGATTCAAAAATGGCAGCCCAGAATTTTGCAATCAAGATGACAATGTCAACGACTAGCACGATTATGTTGTAGACATCGTTGCTGTTGTTGTTGCTGGGCACAGCATTGTTGCTGTTGCTGTAACATGAACAATTAGATCAATGGGCATCTTCAATTGAAGCGATGTGCGTGCCAGCGGCCAATTATCTAACGCGTCTATAGCACTAAAGCATCTCTATACACGTACACTCAAAAAAAAGCAAATATGTTCGTTTTCAAACAAAATTGTCAAAGTAATCACAAAATTTAATAATTGTCCAACCAAGGGCAGATCTTAAGAAATAAAAATAAAGTTTAAAAAAATACAAGTATTTCGATTGTTTTAAGTACAAAATTGGAAAGTTAGGTACGTTATGTGTAGTACCCAAAATTCGAGAATAGAATAATTGCTTATAATAGAACAGAGACGAAACGTTAACATTGAATGTATAGTCTGTTAGTTCCTGAACCTGCCAGGGATTCCTCTATACCACATGTCGATCGTGCATTATCAACTTATGCACAGGCAACATAAGTATTATTTAGATAGGTATTATATTTTCATTAGCAAGCCCTTTTCTAGAAATTTAATCTATTAATGATGAGTAACTAAATAAATCCACTTATGACACAAACTTTTGAAGGCAACACAATTGGCAACACATTATATTTATACCGCATAGTTTCTGAGAAATCTAGTCGAGCGTTGTCTCTATTTTACATTTAACATTGATTTATACTAGAGACCCAGAACGAGTAGAATGTCAAAGTGTCAAAGTAAGCAACCTTTGTTGTACCAATCATTCCTATATGATATAGTGACTCGATATCGACGGAAGTTCAGAAAATGAAAGCTATATAAACCAATTTGGTTTTGATATCGAAATAAGCTACTAAGACTGGTTTTTGCAACAAAATTTTATATGCCAGCTATATTTATATTATTAGGCAATATAAGAAACGCGTAAATACCAAATGATGTCTTTTTAAACAAGAAGTTGTTGGTACTAAGCTTGATTTCTGCCCCTATGGTTCCTATGGCCGCTATACTATATGGTGCGCAGAATTTGATAAAACTTCAGTATATTATCAAACAGATTTTTTGAAGGTATCTTCATAAATGCAAAAGTTATTGTACTAAGAGTGATGATTGCACCGATCGGCCACATAAAATAATGACACTATAGTATATGTGGTGATTAAGACAAGTCTACATCCGAATTTTTAAAAAAATGTTTCATATTCGAATCCAGTCGTTTTTCCATGCCGATATAACAAGGGGTGTACGATGGCTCTTTCTACCTGTTCCGTATTTTTGGCATTTCGGCACTTCCACTCTTCGAACATATGTAAATAAATTCGGGCATAAGAATACTGACAAATTTTAGCCATAAATAATCGATCTAGAATTCACTCCATCTTTTTCCTGAGTGTATGTTGAGCTGCTATTAAGTAATTCATTATGGGGTCGTAATGGCAAAACAGTTAGCCAGAAATGTGCATTAAAGATATCCATTATTATTATTTTCATATAAGTGAGATTCCACACCATTTGGAACCCACGTGCCGCCCATTGCTGGCCATATTTATGAGGCGACTTAGCTCGACTAAGCTCGACTCGCGACTCACCTCGATTATGACTCGACTCGACTCGACTCTGGCTCGGGGCAGTGGATCAGCATTGGCAACTGACCTTTGGCTGACTGCTCTCTGTTCAATGGGCTGCTGCCACCTTCCCCCCCCCAAACCAACCACATGCATGTATGAATTTTCTGTTTTATACACAACATGTACAATAAAACCAGAGTACAAGTAATAAGTGACATGAAGCCGCCCCATGTCCAGCGATAAACAATAAACACAATGAACCGACATTCTATATGTAGAGGTATACGAGTATTGTTTTTTTTTTCTGTTTCACTCAAAACTTTTTGTGTTACTGTTTGTTTATTTGTTTGTTCACACTGTTACTTCTGTTGTTATTGTTATTGCTATTGTTGTTGTTAATGTTGTTTTTGTTATTATAATTAAGTGTCTATTCGTGTATTTCTGCTGCAGCTGCTTCTGATCTTGATAATGGGAAAACGTTTTAAAACATGCGCCTCATTTTCGTTGCTTATACTATACATACATACACACACATACAAGTATATATAAAAATGTATATATACAACTATTCATATTTATATATGCATTTACAGCTATGTCCATTTCCAACTATAAAAATGTACATACAAGTATGTAACTACAGTTGAACTTGGCCATAAAGAACATTGCATTTAAAAATACATCTAATACAAGAATTGCAATCTTCAGAGCCTCAAACAATCCTTAAGAGGGATTTCTGAACTCTAAAAATGTACAAATTTGTCAATTAATAATAGTTTTGTAATTATAATTTCGAACTTCTTTTGAACTGCAGTTTTTCTAGAAAACTGGATTATTTACTGAAAAAAAAAAAGCAAAATTTTTATTTATACTGAAAGAAAAGTGTTTAAAAAAAGATCACATGCATAGTCCAGAAACTCGCTTATATTAGGAACAAAACACATTTTGAGTCACAAGAAAAACATTCAATTCAAGATATTTGGAAATTGAGCCTAGACTTTACATTTAAAAGTATATAACTGTTTTGGTATTATTTACTAGTTACTCCATCTAAAATTGTCTGTGAAAAGAAGATTGGGATTTTATGTATATCTCATTCAGAAATAATATGGAAGCTCCTTTAACTACTGCTGATTGAGTTTTCACTTTCTATGTAGCAAAAGGACTCCATGGAGTTCATGTATTAATTGAAACAACCCAGTAATCCCAGATGGGCTAATACATAAGTTTCAGACTCTGAACATTGATTGAAATGTTACAGTTTCCAGACTTAGACTCCATTTTAAATTTAAATTTGCAACGTATTTTTTAATGCATTTTAAAAATATCACTTAGCTTGGTGCGTGATCTAATTTTGTAATTAGCATAGAATGCTGAAAAAAAAGGCATAAGACTAGAAAAAAATAGTTAATGCAGGAATAACTTTGTTATTCCACATAATTTTAAAGCCGCGCCAGTTTTTAAGGCCCAACTCGGATTGATCACCTTATTCGAAAGGGATAATTATGTTTATAAAAAAAAAACAAATGTAAATACTTTTAGGCAAATATCACAATATGTTTTTGAGAGAAATAGCGTACAAGTTTTAAGACTTAAAATTTGAAAGGAATTTTACAATATATTTATGAGAGAAATAGCGCACAAGTTGTAAGACTTACAATAATATATGAACAATCTATTCGATTGCTAGTCGATTGGATAGGGAGAGTCATGTTTATAAAAAAAAATCAAATACTTTTAAGCAAAATTCACAATACTTGTATATTTTTGAAAGAACTAGCGTATAAGTTGTAAGACTTACAACTTGAAAGGAATAATGTATGAACAATTTATTCGATTGCTAGTCGATTGGACGCCAGTTGAATATTTCGAGCAGTGCGAGCGAGGTTCGAGTTTTCAAGGTTCGACTGTAAATATTATTATAGATACTACTGTGGTCAATGCCACACACTTGACCAACCCATTGAATGAGCGACTGGACGCATATTACATGACTTGACATTTTCCACACGTGCTGTTCGACTCGGAAGCTGCCGCCCATTTCAACTAAATACCTATAAAAGCTGAACTGACGTCACACGCTCTGAAATGATACACTTTTCAATTAGGAGCATGACTAAAATTATTATTTACTTTTGCATTGTTTCCCAGAAACTAACTAACTTACTCACACCCCTTCTCTTTCTGAAGAATAATGACAGTGCCCGTGTGACAAATTACAGAATAAACGTATTTCAATGTATTCCAACAATAAAAAAAAAAAAAGAAGCAGAGCCTGAACCTCCCTCCCTCACTTAGCAACCACGTCTGGATGTATTGCTGAATGATTGATTAGGCTACTGCCATAAATCGCACTACGATTACGATTGCCTAATCAGCATGGAACTCAAGAGAGGGGGGTACAAATATTTGAAACATTGCACCTACAAATGACGGATTATTATAATAATCTGCAGATAAAGTCTGGTGGCTTTAACTCTTATAAGGATCACTGTACATTTGTACTTTCTAAGGCTTATAAACTCATCAATATAAAAACAAGTTTTGGTATACTATCCATTATCCATTACCTTAAATGGCGACAGGCTGGCCCCGATATGTTAGGAAAAGAAAGCTAACGAGCAATTTTTACAGCTTTTTACAACAGTTCTCAATATGAAATGCGTTTTTCAAATCTGTGCAATAAACAAGTTGTTGATGCAAACATGATTTTAAATTATAACGTTGCTATGACAGCGGATCCGACATGGTCGGGCGGTCCCGCTTGAAATATCATCTGCTGTGTCCGTCAAAAAGAAGCCTCGGTGCAAAGTTTCATCGCGATGGTGATTGAACGATAGCCAGACAGACGGACATTCTATATAGCATACATAAGTTATAAGAATGTTAGACTTTTAGGATCTTTTGTAGGAGCGGAACTGTATTTTGTAAATATTGAAATATTTCGAGATTATTTGACAATCCATGACATCTCATGGTTTTTATATTGCTTGTTTAAAATCGACCTTTTATAGTCTCGTAGACTATTAGAGTTGCGATTATTATTCAAAACAAGAGAAGCATTCATCTAGCAACTTTGTTTAGGATATAAAGTATACGTATATCTAATAGTCAACCTGGCCTAAAGCTTGATTTATATTTATAATCTCGAAGATCGCAGAGTCGTTGAGTCGTGTCGGCTTAACTCGTGGACACTAATTGGCTTCCTCTTTGAGCGATTTAAATTGTTTCGATGCAAATTATAAAACGATTAAGCACACGTGCTCTGTGCTTATAATCCACCATCATTGAAAATTAATTCCAGCACTGCCTAGTGGTACGAGGGAGCTTAGTTAGGGACGAGTTCTCCTTCAGTGACCAGAAGGAACAGTATTGACTATTGAATTAACAACAATAATCTGTAAATTGGCTTCATATAACTAATGTGCGCAAAAAAAAAATGAACCGGTTTGAATGACGTTAGCCGGAATGGTTTTTGTACTTTTGGATCTAACACGAAAGCACATTGTACTCTTATTTGAGGGAAAAGGTAACAGATTGCCGTCTAATTGTTGCAAACTGTTGTGCAGTCTGTGAATAAATTCCTTCATGCCCCTCTGACGTGTTCCCAAGATAATCATTTGGAGTACGACGGACGGGCCAAAGTTTAGACAGGCTAGAGTTTTAATGGTATATATAAATGGTGGTTTATACTACATACATATATATTTTTTTACTCAACGCCTTACGCCTTATCTAGGTTGTACTTTTTTAAAAATTTCTTTTTGAATTTTGTTTGGGTTTTATTAAGTAGAACACGTCGATCTATAGCTGCGTTTTTGCTGTTGTAGTTAACGCTCAAATGTGTATAATAATTTGTTGATAAGATTAGTGGTGGTGGAGTGCTACGTTGCTATCAGGGTGCACACATTAATTTATTTATACATACAAACATACATACATAAATATAAATGTATGCATCAACGTATGTATACTTGTATACATTTTTTAAAACATTTATTTTTATTTCTGTCTCTTTTTGTTGGCGTCGTTAAACGGTTGGCCGGGGGGGCCAACTGAATCATTCAGAATTATTGAGCCGAATAATGTTATCAGTTAAAGTTTTTATTAAAAAAACAACAAAAAAAAGACAAAAAAACCAAGCATTTGTTTTTAAAAATAAACTACGCGTTTTTGCCGGGCATTGTGTTGGAGCGTGATTTACTAACCTCCTTGCACCTTTATTCATTCTGCTGGATCCAAACTGAGTGTAGGAGTATAGGAATTGAGCCAAAGGATCGGCGAACGCGGTTCCAGAATTTTAGACAGAGGCACTGCGAGGCAGAGAAGCGCTGAGAGCGAAACAAACCGTTAGCGGCTGTTAACGAATTCGGACTGAATTTTCAAAAAGTAAACACAGTACGTACGCATTGCGCGATGCCGGCCGTATGAGTTATTATACACACACACACACACATACATACACACTGAACACATCGACACACACACACACACACACACACACACACACACACATGCATGGAGACATGTGTATGTCAACAAGCGAGCACAGGCGGCAACCGAAACGAAACTGAAAAATGTTCTATAAACATTTTCTACAAATGTCGATCTACATACATATGTGTATATATATATATATATATATGTATATGTATATATAGACTGCTTGTGTGTTTGGCTGTGTGTGTGTTAATCAGCGCCCAATGATTACATACAAATGCATATAAATAAATATGTCCATATGTATGTACTTGTAGATATTTCGGTTTTGTCCGTCTATCTCTCTGTACATAGGAAAGTAAACGCTTGATCTAGTAACGAACATATGTCTCCATACATACATACATACATGGATACATATGTGTGTATGCATGTCTGCTTGGTTGTGCATTTGCTTCCGAAAGTGTCACGATAATGTTCACCGGCCTGCCGAAGTGCCGAGAACTACAGATACAGATACAGATATCCGCGATTCTGGCGATACTCGCCGAGCGATAAAAAACAACGGTTTGTTGTTTGTATCTGCGCCGACCGGCTTATAATGCCATGTGCCTGCTATAGCCATAGCCGATCGTCTTGTGGGCGTGCAACAGCTGCATGAAATATCAGTAATATCAATACGTAGAACCCACAACACAAAACACAAAACAAACAACAAACAGCACTAGAACATGCCCCCATGCCGTGCATGCCTTAAATAAATTGCATTTAAAAATGAAACTGATTTATGGTTAGGACAAAGGAAAGTATTATCAACTATGTAATTACTAAATTCATTCAAGTAACAAACAACTATTTAATTGAGATTGGAAACTCCGAGTGCTCAGTGCTCGAGACTACTTTAAATAGTTTTTACTGAACTGGCACTTTTCTTGGTGATGCTTCTCTTCACATGTTTGTTATTCTTCATCTTTTTTTTTCTGGTGGTCCGGGTTGAATATCAATATAGAGGAACAAGGAATTATGTTCCATTTAGATGGCCTTGGGTGTCCTGCCTTTGACCATACTGTTCTTTCTCAGTTACTTTTTCTTCCTCACTCTACAGTTTCAAAACGTCTATCTTTAACCATAAAATGAATTTCTCAATAAAATATTAAACCGAATTAATAAATAAATTCCAGCAGTTACTAAAGTAGAAGAATGAACTAAAGCAGATACAGGTGTTGGGGCAGCCATTGCAGCAGGCAATAACGAAGAAAACGGAATCTGAGCTCTTTTAGTTATAGCAGCCAATACTCGTATAACAAATCTACCAGTTTCTAAATAAACTTTTGACCACACACGGCTATCATTTCGCGTACAGCTCGCTGAAAAGAAGGAGCTAGAAGAAGGCGTGGCAGACCTATTGTTATAGTTACACATATCCGTTTTGCCTATCTCTATCTTTTGTGCCACAAAAGCTGAAGACACGAAATGTGTCTAATTCAAACCTAGGGCAGCTATTACAAACCACATACTTGTACATATAGTCTCACTATTTTTTTTATAGCTGCTATAGCACCGATCGGTGCTATTCTTAATCAATTCTGGTAGTTATAAGTAATGATATTCTAGTTTCGTCGGTTTCTCTTCACGTAGCTTAAAAATCAAGCTGAGTACCGTTTTGTAAAGTGAGTCTTTATTAATAACCAGGGGAGGCATGTGGGACTAAAATTTGGTGTCCCTAGGTCTTATAGTCTTCGAGATATAGGTGATTATACGAAAAGAAAATCGCAAAATCGCCCTTAGCGGGGAAGTGGGGGAGAAAATCCACAGAATAAAACAAACTTGCACAGCTTACACTCATGAGGCATCTTTGTGCAAAATTTGGTGTCTTTAGCTCTTATAGTGTCTAAAATCCAGGTGTTCAGACGGACGGACGGACAGACAGACAAGTCTAGACCGACTCGTCTTGTCAAGCTGATCAAGAATATATATACTTTGTATTAGCAGAGTGTTTTTTTTAAACTGCCCCTTCTGCCTGTTGCATTTTTCAGCTCGCGCAAATCTAATATACTCTTGTACATTTCATGTAGAGTAAAAAAATCTCTATATAGTAGTGCGAGAAAACAAAGTTTATTTGAAGTCATTAGTTGTAGTAGAAAAAGGTGTAGGGGAAAAAGGTGGATAAGAGTATATAAGAGTTGGGCTGGCACGAGTTTTCCTTTATTTAAATAGTCTTATTAGCTATGTTGTTAGGGTATTCCGTTGGCTGCCTTTAGCAAATCCAGTCAGACTATTACCGGTGTTGGTGAACAGTTTAGTAATCCTATTCTACGTGCCAAATGTTACCAGTGTTGGGTAAGAAACATAAGAAATAGGGGCATAGGAGGTGTTCCTGCGTTTCGATTGCTTCCAGTTCCTTGTGTTTCCTGCATCTGTTATGGCGACTAGTTTCTTGGCATGGGCGACTGCTACGAACAGGTGATCTGTAGGTAGGACTCTCCTGAGTATGAATTGAGGGTGCCTTTTTGTCTCTTAATTAATTATTATAAAATAATTATAAAATTAATAAATATTAATTACAATAGGGGTTTTCTCTTCGCAGTACATATTTTCTTTTCTTTTCGTAACCTTCTTTTTTAAGTTCACGAACACTTTTAACGTCTCGAACACACTTGACTGCTAATCTGACCTTTTAGTTACTCATTTGTTGACGTAGAAGTATATAAATGAGCTTAAGCAATTAATAGTGTTTGCTCAAAAATTGAAAATATATGTTGGTACTCGATATGTTGGAATCATCTCGCGTGCCACCGCCTATTCGTTCAATTCATCAAATTAATTTTCATTTAACAAAGCACGCCATTCGATGGAATTTCTTTATGCGTCTAATTCGTAGTTGACTATGAAAACGAATTCATTTACTACATCATTGTAGCGATAGAAACAATACAGTAAAAACTACAGAATTCAGAAAAATGGCCAATAGAATTACCGTGGGATTGGTTTTCCATTTAATTTGGAACTATGAAGAGCCGGTGCCGTACAATATGCTGTTCAACCATTTCTCTCGCGATGATGACAACGAACTCCAACGGGAGATCGTAAGGAAGGATCTAGATAATGCTATAGCTGTTTGTATAGACTTGGGTCTCGTCGAGGAGAATAACGGTTTCTTTTACACCATTCTCGATCGCGGGGACTCTGATGAGGAGTCAGACGAAATTTTGAATTCTCAAGGCCTGTAAATAACATGCCACTTACAATTTGTTAGTTCACACACCCGCTCAAGAATTCAAGGCCGACTTGCTTATATTTACTACAACTTTTGCCAAGAATGGACAATTTAAATTGGTTCCTCAACTATGTATGTATACCTATTCCTTCTCCTCAACACCTAACACGTAGAACGATCTGCCGCTGCTTTATGCTTGCATCACAACTATCTGACATATATTGGTTTATAATCGGTTCATATATCTTTGTTTCAGATAATGGCTTAGATGTTTTTTGGATCAACACCCACCCCCATCACTCACACCTAAATATTTCAATGCATTTTTTTATTTGATTTACTTATTATACCGTATTTGTGTTTCATTAAAAGATGAATGAAACTCATACTGAAACATTCTTCATAGACAAGTTTTATCGTGTTTTTTCATTATTATTATTTCATTTCATATTTCATTTCATATTTCATTTCATATTTCATTTCATATTTCATTTCATATTTCATTTCATATTTCATTTCATTTTCATTTCAGATTTCTTTCATATTTCATTTCATATTTCATTTCATATTTCATTTCATATTTCATTTCATATTTCATTTCATATTCATTTCATATTTCATGTTCATATTTCATTTCATTGTTCATTCATTTTCATTTCATTGTTCATTTCATATTTCATTTCATCATATTCATATATTCATATATCATTTCATATTATATTCATTTCATATTTCATTTCATATTCATTTCATATTTCATTTCATATTTCATTTCATATTTCATTCATATTTCATTTCATATTTCATTTCATATTTCATTTCATATTTCATTTCATATTTCATTTCATATTTCATTCATATTTCATTTCATATTTCATTTCATATTTCATTTCATATTTCATTTCATATTTCATTTCATATTTCATTTCATATTTCATTTCATATTTCATTTCATATTTCATTTCATATTTCATTTCATATTTCATTTCATATTTCATTTCATATTTCATTTCATTGTTCATTTCATATTTCATTTCATATTTCATTTCATATTTCATTTCATATTTCATTTCATATTTCATTCCATATTTCATTTCGTATTTCATTTCATATTTCATTTCAAATTTCATATTTACTAAAATTTTCTTTCTACCAAATCTACCACCACAAAGTACCATTTTGTCATTTGATATATATTTATCGGATGCGACAAGAACCTTCTCAATATAAATAAACAAAGTGCATAGTTTTATGAGCATATCGTTCTATGGCAGCCATCAGGGTGGTAAGAGGAAGCTTTGGCGCAACGTTTCAGATCGATAGTTTCAATACAGTGGGCCGCATAGTAATTCATTGACTTAATATACATATTAAATAATTAAATAAAAAATGCTTTAAAAATATAAAAATACAATTAAATTAAATAAAATAAAATTAAAATAAAATTAAATGTTACAAAATTTAAGTAAAATGAAAATAAATACAAAATGAAACTAAACCTCAAATAAAATAAGTGAAATAAAACAAAAATGAAACTAAACTAAAAATAAAATAAAACTAAACTAAAAATAAAATAAAATATTAACTAAACTTAATTTAAACTTGTAATAAAAAGCCGCTGAGCACAAATTAAAATTCTAGTTAATTTTTTCTTTTTTTTTAGAATTTAGCTTTTTTTTGTACTTTATGGAAGAACACGAAAAAGTGTGGAAAACACTGAAAAATTGGGATAATTCAAGCCGATCGGTCTGGAATTTTTCGTTCTGTTTTTCCCTGAGTGTATGTATGTATCAGATGCATGTATGTTAGGTATATATGTATGCATGCATCTATAATCTTGCTCATTGTCATAAAACAGATTCCGGACTGCCTCTACCATGATCCGGTCCACCTTCTGAAGTGTGCAATTGTTTGTAATTCAAGTGCAAGTAATGTCTACCCGTTTCTATATGCATATATGTATATATATATATATATATATATATATATATATATATATATGTTCAGGTATATATGTGTGGTTGTTTATTTGTTTGTAGGTGGCTATGAATGTTTGTTTTTATGACGGCTAAGGCTAATCGAATAAATTAGCTTGTATTACAATTTACGAGCTGTTGGACCGGTTGAGTTTTCTTCTTATTTATTTGTATTTAGATTTTATCTTTTTGCATTGTTCACACTTGCTTCAAAGAACAAATGCACACCGAGACCCTCAGACATGCATACAAGTACATACATATTAACCTAACGGCGTGGGTGAACGAATGCAGGCAGACCTGTCACTGATCTGACTCTGTGTTCCCCCAGGTAGTATAGTTGCGAACGCCATAAACCAACTTGAAGAACGCCAACAGTGCAGATCTGGGTACTCGCATGCATGCCTCTAGTTCTAGATGATTTCATTTCATCTAAGACGTGGCTGGGGCGCGTTTTTTTCGCATCAAGTGACATCAATTGAAAATGTCGCAACAGATTCGTGTGCAATCGGCTGTGAAATTACACTTTGGACAGACACCAATAGTTGAATATGTTATTCAGTTTACGGCATTATCACACGTACATATGTATACATATCTTGTCTGGCTGAATAATCAGTAATAGCATTTAACTCTCATTATCGTACGTAGTCGGAGCACCCCCTACCCCCATACCCTCACCCCACAACCATTCTCTGTGCACTCTTATCGCCATTCATGCGGCTTCATGATGGCTACTTCTTGGATTTCATATAATCGTCCGAAAAAGTTAAGGGGCGAAGAAAAATAGTGCGGGCCAGTCAGCATGACACGACGATATGACGAGTTTTTTGTCTTCAGTTGCACTTCGGTCACATCACATAGCTCTTGAATATACCCAGTCGAAGTTCAACATACCAATTCCTATCTCTGACACACACAAAGAGTTCCCAATTTAGAAAGGCGATATGAAAATACAACTCAAACTAAATCGTACTATCGGAAATATTTTTTTCTTCATAACATTAATGGAAGTGCTCTGCCCTGATAGTTGGGGAAATGTTTGGATTTAGTTTTTGTACCCTGTACCCGTAAAAAGGGTATATTTTATTTTATTTTTTTAATTCCCACCCCCCCCCCCCCCTTCCCCCGTCCAACCGTCTGTCTGGATGAACGCCTGTATTTCGGAAACGGCTGAGCGTACATTAACCAAACTTTACACACGTAATTAATACACAATTATCTAATTTTGTTTCGAATTTCATTAAAATTGGTAATTTCTAAGAAAAGCATTAGCGAAAAAGTACTACGCCCACAAACTGCAGCAACAAGTTCGCTCTTCTTCTTCTCTTTGCTTCTGTTAGAGGCGCATATAACTCAGTGTCGGAAGTTTACTTGGGTACAGGGTGTTTCACTGTCGGGCTTGCTCGACTGTAGCGTTCTCTCTTGTTTGCTTCTTAATTTTCCAAGCCCATGCCACGTTCTGCTTGCAAATTGGTCGACAATTTTGTTTGAGTGTAGGGTATTTCACTGTCCGGCTGGCTCGACTTTCACATAATTCCGCGTCTTTTATTTAGTTTGTTAAGTTAGTTTCTTGGTTTTGTATACCACCCAGCTTTTTAAACGAATTTTCCATTAATTTGTACCTACACAAATTTTAAATTTAAATTGTTTTAAATTTAAATTCTTTAAATCCACAGCCCATATATTTTATGTGGATACTTTTTATACCCTCTACCCATATTTACTCTTTGGGTACTACTAGTTAAGAGCGAATGTGCAACACACAGGATGTCCTCCCAAGGACGACTTTCCGTCTGCATGAACGCAAGGATCTCAGGAAGTACAGTAAAACAAAACATGGTATTGGAACTCCCCTAAGATCTGGCTAGATCATGTTTATTCTTATTATTATATGCATCAAGTGTAAAAATATGGGATACTCCCTACTACATTCAATGAATTGTATGGCCAAAAAAACAATTTTTTATACCCTGTACCCAAAGGGTACAAGGGTATATTAGTTTAGTGCGAGTGCACATGGAACACACAGAAGGAGGCTTGGTAGACCCCACAAAGTATATATATTCTTGATCAACATGACAAGCCGAGTCGATATAGCCATGTCCGTCTGTCCGTCTGTCCGTCTGTCTGTCCGTCTGTCCGTCTGTCTGTCTGTATGAACGCAAGGATCTCCGAAAGTATAAGAGCTAGAATAACCAAACTTGGTATACAGATTCTCCTGAGACCGAGAAAGGACGAGTTTGTTCATTTTTTCTGATCCACCCCCCCACTCCCCCCCTATTAACGATTTTCTATAACTCCCGTAATTTTTGGAATTTTGAACTAAAATTTGGTAGTCACATTAGGTTAGTAATTATATAACCGTATACCAAGTCTCATTATGATAGAATGATCGGAAAGAAAGTTATAGCCATATAACCAGGCTCAATGCACACATACATACATATGTACAAGTACACAAACACGCATAGACACGATTCTGATGTAATTGTAAATGTATGTATGCATGCATGGAATATTTTATATTTAATTAGTTAATATTTAGTTAATTAATTAAATTAATTTAGTTAATTAATTTAATTAAATTAATTAATTAATTTAATTACTTTTTTGTGGGGTGGTACAGGGTATTTAAGAGTTGAGCCTGCTCGACTTTAGCATTCCTTTCTTGTTTTTTTTTCAATTAGAAACATTGCCTAAAAATTTTTTCCGTAAAGCCAAAGTTATTCAAATATTTCCTGATGTTTTAATATTTTGTAAGCCTTTTAAACGTATTTCAAATCGGTTTTTACATACGCGCATAGATTCAAATTGTTTATTAACTTTAATGGAGCATTTTAAATTTATGAATAAATATATTTTTGGTTTACTTTTAAAGTCCAGAAAACTCGCTCACAAAGCAAATACTCACCGTTCGCATGTACCGCACACAACGACTGATAATTATACATAAATAAGAGAGCTATAAATATATCTTAAATTTTGAAACAAGACTTCGCTCAATTGGAGTATAAATTGGACGTTTTTGTTTATTATAGTTTTTACAGTCCCCTATTGGCTAAACAGACTATGTAGTCTTCACGGCTCTTGAACATTTGAAACACGTGTTAGAACAATCACACAAATGTACTTTTCTGAGGGTACTTGAGAGAAGAACCCATAATTATACTTGTAAGTATACCAACAACTCTGCCTAAGAAATGAGAGAAATGGTTTACTTTTACTTTTTTTTTTTTAAGGACGCCACTTAAGTAACTCACATGAGAAGCGCAGAGGAGAGTGATAAAGATATAAGTGAATTAACAACGATTTAACTTATGTGGTAGGCTGGTTGTTAGACCTGCAACGTCGAGAAAAATGAAACCACGGCACTGTCTGTCGGCAGGCACTGGCCGAAGGCCTCGATTAGCAAAGGCTCCGCAGCGACGGTGCCCATGAAATCCTCCAAAGAAACCTGTATAGGGAGACACGCGACACTCTCGAGCTGCAGTTATTGACACTCAATGTGTTTACTAACCTTGCCATCCTTATCTAGATCGAATTTCTTTAGTACGATCTCCACCAAATCCTTGACACCCTCATCGGGATCCTCATCTTGTGGCTGTTTGATGAGACAATTGCGCAGAAGCGTGAACATCTCATCTTTGGTAATGAACCCATCCGTGTTCAGATCATAGACGCGAAAACAGAAGGCCGCCCGTTCGGCGGGTGTGCCACGAAGGAAGGTGGATAATCCGATTAGCCAGCCCTCCAGGCGTAGCGGCAGACCCTCATGTGCCTTGTCCCAGCTACAGAAAATGCGCTCCATTAATATCTCCTCGGTCACAATGTCGAAGGTGCTGTGCAGGAGCTCTCGAAAGACAATTCGGTCGATGCCCTGGCAAGTAAATATTCACACTTATGTGGGTGGGGAGAAATACAAACTATTATCGAATTACCTCGACAGTCGCATGCGGCTTTACAATGGCCGCACTAGAGGAGCTGGAGGAGAGGGTCTTGGCCGCATACTGGCAATTGGACACCAACTTGCGATAGATACGACATAGAGCGTCCAGCTCGTCCCTACAAGAGATATTAATAATGGCTGGGTTTGTAGTTTGTGGTTTGTTTGTGTGACCACCCACTTGATGCTTTTTTTGCACTCACTTGCTGAAGCGCGTCTTTTTGCGCAGATTTTCCAAGAGCTTGGGATTAATTTTCCCACTCAGCTCGTCCATTTTCCTTTGCCGCAACTGACGTCTTTTCTCCCGGGCCGCCGCAGAGGCCTTCGCCTGGTTGTTCGAATTACGTTTGCCGCTGGCAAGGAAGACCGACACTGTTTTCAATATTGTTTTGCTCGCCTGCAATGTCGATCTGACGCTTCTGCCCGTTGCCGTTGTTGCTGTTGCTGCTGTTGTTGTTGTTGGCGCCGCCGCCGTTGGTGTTACTGTATTCGTTGCCGTTGCCGTTGTCTGCACACCATTCGAGGCGCCACCCCCGACAGCTCCATTGCCACGATTGGGTGTCGGTGTTGGCGAGCGACCCTTTCCACCACCACCACCACCACCAGCACCGCCTTTCATGTCCGCCTGATTGCCAGCCGCAGCCTTGCCTGCGAACAACAATGCCACGCACATACAATAAACATGAGACGTACAGTAAAACCTGCTTCTGTGGGCCACCCATGGTTAACCCTTTTTGGTAAACTCACGATGGGTCGCCTATGCCTGCAAAATTAAACGATTGAGGGAAGAGACCATTTTTTTTCGAAACTAGACATATAGTCGTATACTTGTATAAATATGATCAGCATGATGAGATGAATCTATATAGAATATGACGAATATGAATATAGCATATGTCCATATGAATATCAATAATTATTGCACAATAGCAGGAATAGGAACCTATCTTATCCAAATACAAGTCAAGTCTATTACAACTCGTATATAACACAGCTATTTAATATAGCTCCTGCAGGAACTATCCGTACAAAAACAATATTTTGTGTATACCATGCTAATATCCTAATCGTAACATAAAACTCGGTAGTAATAAGTTTTTAATATTGCCCCACTATATCACAATATCTATGCCAAAAATGACTCTTAAGCTTTGGTTTTGATATTGTAAAAAATAAAGTGTTCCTACCAGAAATGCAAATAATTTGCACACAAACTTTCGTATAATTTTACAAATTTTAGTCGAACATTCCGAATTAATACAAATTACATTATATTTACGAGAAATCCGACCATTTTCTTGGAAATTATTTGCATGTCTGGCCATCCCTTTACGAGCAACTTTTTGTTTACTACATCGACATCGTTACCAAACTTATTCGTTCTCTAATACTGTTTTATAGAGATTATATCAGTTTGATGGCTTTTGGGGTCGGTAAAAACTTTACAGACTTTACTGTTCTTACAAGCATGCATACATGTAGATACAGGGAAGTGTGTTTTGTGTTTCCTGTTTTATGTGTCAAATCAATCCACGCGAACCAAACACCAGCTCCTACCCTACACACCCACAACTAAACGTACACCTACACCTACACCTATTTGGAACTGGGGAGTGGGTACTTTAGGCTGTATTGGTAACAAACAAAAAAAATGGGCAATAACTGTGGCCGTAAGCTGTTCTTCCGCTGAGTGTAGTCGAAATACACTGAGCAAAACAAAGCTATTTCCTCGTAGAGCAAATGAAATCCAAACTTAGGAACTACAAATATTTGTTAATAGTTGAGGTACTGCGATCCCCCTAGAGAGTGTTGTGAGTCTTAATTGGTTACTAATAGGTCTAAACTCTATTCAGATTGATGTGCTATTTAGATGGTATCTTTCTGAAATCTCCCAGAATTTCAAGATACCAAGAACTTTATACAGATACCTGGAGTTTGTTTTTTTTTCTCTGTGAAAACAATTTTTAAAATTTATTTATTTGAATATTTTTCGATAAAAATACAGTGATGTATGCTATAAGAAATATAGATGGATAGAGGCTAAGAAACATTTTAAAAGTGTCGCTAGAAAACTATATTTTAAAAACAAAGATTTTCATGCAGTACTGATGATGTACTTATGTGCGGAAAAGCCGCATTTGATTCAGTTAAGATGAACAAATTTGAAAAACACAATTTTATTAGAAAACACATGCGAGGAACTGAAGTATTTTTATTTTCTTATGTTATGATATTGCCTTGCCCTGTTTATATATAAACATGTTAAATTGTACCCAAACACAAATGTCAAGTACTTTCAGGTCCCCCCTAAGAACTAAATGAATGTCACTCATCATTTTCAAAACATTGTGCTATTTCTAGCCCGCAACCACACCACTTGAGTGTAATAATAGACACTTAAGAAGAGATCAATTGTACATCCCCGCTGCGAAGAAAACGCAGCAGGGGATTGGATAATAAGAATTGAATATTGATATGCGAGTATAAGACTAGAATTGAAGTCAGTTCAAATTTTTAAAATAAGAATTGAATATTGATATGCAAGTATAAGGCTAGAAATCAGTTCAAATTTTTATAATAAGAATTGAATATTGATGTGAGAGTATAAGACTAGAATTGAAGTCAGTTCAAATTTTTATAATAAGAATTGAATATTGATATGCGAGTATAAGACAAGAATTGAAGTCAGTTCAAATTTTAAAAATAAGAATTGCATATTGATATGCAAGTATAAGGCTAGAAATCAGTTCAAATTTATAAAATAAGAATTGAATATTGATATGCAAGTATAAGACTAGAATTGAAGTCAGTTCAAATTTTTGAAAATAAGAATTGAATATTGATATGCAAGTATAAGGCTAGAAATCAGTTCAAATTTTTAAAATAAGAATTGAATATTGATATGCGAGTATAAGACTAGAATTGAAGTCAGTTCAAATTGTGATTATAAGAATTGAATATTGGCATGCGAGAATAAGACTAGAATTGAAGTCAGTTCAAATTTTTATAATAAGAATTGAATATTGATATGCGAGTATAAGACAAGAATTGAAGTCAGTTCAAATTTTAAAAATAAGAATTGCATATTGATATGCAAGTATAAGGCTAGAAATCAGTTCAAATTTATAAAATAAGAATTGAATATTGATATGCGAGTATAAGACTAGAATTGAAGTCAGTTCAAATTTATGAAAATAAGAATTGAATATTGATATGCAAGTATAAGGCTAGAAATCAGTTCAAATTTTTAAAATAAGAATTGAATATTGGCATGCGAGTATAAGACTAGAATTGAAGTCAGTTCAAATTTATGAAAATAAGAATTGAATATTGATATGCAAGTATAAGGCTAGAATTGAAGTCACTTCAAATTGTGATTATAAGAATTGAATATTGGCATGCGAGTATAAGGCTAGAATTGAAAGAAAGAAATCAGTTCAAATTTTAAATTCAGCAAATGAAGTCGTGTTGTTATTTTGATTGACCTTCATCTTTGGATGCTGAACTACTAAATTAACCATAGAATAGAAATTTTTTATTTTATTTATTTGTTTTGTCGACAAACAGAGCTGTCGATTTGAGAAAAAAAATCAAAATAATTCAGAAATAATACTAGATAGAACTAAAGAAAAACAAATTTTATTGGCCAAACGGCCAGCTATGCCTCGATTCACAGCAAAGAGTAGTCAGAGACGTTAGTAGACCTAACAAAAAATAAAAGGAGAAGAAAAAAAGCAATATAAGATAAAGAAGAAGGATAATTAAATTAAAATAACAAATTGAAATACTTAAATAATACAAGAAAAAATATAGTTTAAAGCTTAAGGTGGACTATCACTGACCCGTTGGGGGAAGGTTTATTAGCCGGTCCGGCAAGCTATGAATCAAACCAATTCGTGATCATATATATTATATTTATACATAAATGACCAACGCGTGGGTGATATTTATTTCGCCAAGTGTATCTATTAGCTGTGTCTGCTTTGTTGGCTTTGTCTGCAGTTACCCCACCCCCCCCTCCAAAAAAACTACTTGCTATGTATTGTTTGCTGGCATGCCACATTTTTATGTTTTTATGTAACCCGGCCGCGGCATTTGTATCTTTTGCCATTCATTGTGTATATATTTATAGTGTGTAGCCGAAGGGTCATACTTGTATGTATACTCGTAAAGAGTGTCTACGACCGCGTGCAAATGTAGCTGCAGTCGGTCTAGGCTCCCTCAATTATGGCTTGATTTAGGGAGGAGCGGAGTGGAGTGGAGTGGGTTACGTGTTCTCTTCTGTTCTGTTCTGTTCTGTGCAACCTGCCTCGCACTATAATTTTATTAGCATGTGCCTGGTTACAAGTGTGGGGATGCGTGTTGGGCGCTCAAAAGTATGCAATGCGCATCGTACTTCCTATAATTTGTTGATTTTCCACCATTATTCGCATTTGCAAGTCGTTGCTGTTGCTGTTGTTGCTGTTGTTGTTACTGTTGTTGTTGCTGTTGCCCAGGTGAATATGACAGAAAGGGCTCAAGTGTTATGGCCCAGCAAACGACGCCATTTGGCATTGACAAGCCATTAAACTGCTTTTATTCGTATATTACAATAACTATACCCATGTATATGCATACAACATACACATATGTATATATGTACTTGTATATATATGTATATATGTATGCTTGACAATGTCCATGAGGGAGCTCTAAGCCCAAAACCGATGCGAGAGCAAGCAAACAAAACTGCTACCACACTTCATTCAGCAACGTGCTCGCACATTATTTTAACGTCAATTTGTTTGTACACATGCTTTAACTGTCTGAAAACAATAACAACAACAACAGCAACAGCAACTTCAATAACTACAATGATGGTGTGCCAATGTTTGTCTACGTGTACATTTCACAAGTGCAATTTTCAGACAGACAAATATCAATGTCCACCCCTTCCTAAGGCCCGACTTCTCAGTCGTTGACATACTACAATACCGCCCATTTGAATAGGTCTAAGCAAAAGCAAAAGAAATTTCAAAAAATAAAATAAACTCTTCCTTTCTCGGACCTAGGAGAATCTGGATGCCAACTTTGGTTATTCCAGCTTTTATAGTTTCTGAGTCCCTTACGTTCATCCAGACGGACAGACGGACGGACATGTCTAGATCGATTTCTCTCGCCATGCTGATCAAGAATATATACACTTTATGGGGTCGGAGATGCTTCCTTCTGCCTGTTACATATTTTGCACAAGCCTAATATACCCTTTTTACCTTAAATTTATAGTTGATTTACAGCTTTAAAATAAACTTAATCATCATTTTTTAGACATTTTGAAATAAGGTATACTTATATAGGAGAGTAAAAAATTGCAGACAAGGACCCCCATTTACTAATCTAACCCCCAAATTGCAAACATTTAGCTTCAATTAAAGCACAAAGAGGTCTGATTGAAAGAGGTCTGATTGATCGATTCTTATACTCTTACTCAAAAGTCACTCACAAAAGAATTTCCTTTTTATTTAAATAAAAAAATAGGTAATTTTTAACATTTTTAGCAAATTAATACAAAAAAAGCCATTTAATAAATATACTAAAATATAATTGTTTTGAAGTTTTTAGTTGAAACAGTAATTCTGTAAATATAAATATTGATTTATAAATTATTCCTGGGGCAGCTATAAACAAGTTTTCGATGCTCATACGGATAGACGGACATGCCTTTATCGTCTCGTCAAGCTGA